AACATCCCTATACACTCAAGGTCTTCTGCGGGACATTTGCTTCCATCAGCCTGGACCAAGCTGGCAACTGTTGAGGAGGGCTTTTTCTTCACCTCTCCCCAAAATTATGGAATAACCTGCCAGAAAAACGTAAACAATTGAATTTTAAAAAGCACTAGACATCCCCTGCCACGCATTGCTGTGGCCCAGTCTGTATATATGTGTGCATATGAGCGTGTATATATTTGTGTATATGTGTATATATGTGTGTTTGTGTATATATGTGGTTTTGCGCATGCGTTGTAATGCATTTTTTATTCTTTGACTTTTAAAGTCTCTTCTGCTGTGTGTTTCAGTGTTTTTATGAGTGATGGCCACTCGTTGGCTTGATACGTGTTGTGTCTAAACATAGTGTAAATTCTCCCAGTGGTTTTTGAGTTATGTTAATCCCACAAACGAACATTACATGATTATTTATATAAGACTTGTCGTCCCCTGCCACGCGTTGCTGTGGCCCAGTCTGTGTATGTGTGTTTTGTGTGTATATATGTGTGTGTATATATATGTGTGTTTGTGTTTATGTGGTTTTGCACATGGGTTGTAATGTATTTGTTTTATTTTTTTAAGTCTCTTCTGCTGTGTTTTTCAGTGTTTCTATGAGCGATGGTCACTCGTTGGCCTGATACGTGTCTTGTGTCCAAATTTGGTGCCAATTCATCCAGTGGTTTTTGAGTTATGTTAATCCCACAAACTAACATATTTTTATTTATATAGATTAAAGACCAGTCTTTTCTGACAGACCTATCCAGATGGGTTTTTAAACCACACATTTTAAAATAGGGGTTATTGTTTTTAATAAAGCATCATGTCCCAAACGCATTTTATTAGAGATTTAAGATTGTCTGCACATCGCACCTACTCTAAAATCCTTACATTTCACCTGTCATGTCCAGCACTTTTAATTTTATTCATTGCCTCTGGCCCGGCCCTTTGTTTTTAAATGTTTCATGATGTCATTGTTTAATGTTTACTGTTTATTGCCTTAATGTTTATTGGTTTGCTTTTCTTGAGTTTTATTGTTGTATTTGTTATGCTGTTGTTTTATTGAGGGCCTTGGCCTTTGTAAGCCGCACCGAGTCCTTCGGGAGATGTTAGCGGGGTACAAATAAAGTTAATAATAATAATAATAATAATAATAATAATAATAATAATAATAATAATACGTATTGTATGCTCCTTTAACAGCAATGATGTATTATTTTAATGTGTGATATGTGTCTTTAAGGAGCCCCGGTCGCACAGCAGGTTAAACCGCTGGGCTGGTGAACTTGCTGACTGAAAGGTCAGTAGTTTGAATTCGGGGAGCAGGGTGAGCTCTGGCTGTTAGCCCCAGCTTCTGCTAACCTAGCAGTTTGAAAACATGCAAATGTGAGTAAGTAGGAACCACTCTGGTGGGAAGGTAACGATGCTCCATGTAGTCATGCTGGCCACATGACCTTGGAGGCCCCCACGGACAGCGTCGGCTCTTCGGTTTAGAAATGGAGATGAGCACCGCTCTCCAGAGTCAGACAAGACTAGACTTAATGACAAGGGGAAATCTTTACTTATGTGTCTTTACCTAACATTATTTCATTTTAATTGATGTGTGCTGTCCTCCTGCATGCTCATCCTGAAGATGAGTGGTGAGCAAAACAAAAACCCAGACATCCAATGCTAATCACAAAAAATGAATTAGCCAAGGAATGACGATTATCTTCTGCTCTCAAAAGCTTGAACATTTCTTTTGATCTTGAAGTTTGCTTCACCAGGGATGAAGATCTTTAGCAACTTGGAGGAAAAACCCTCCCTTCCTTCAAACTACACCAACCCTTTCACTATAATCAGAAGGGACTTGAAAGTCCACTTCCATTGGAAAAGGGAAAACATAATTTGAGCCTCACACTTTTGAAGGAGAAACATGTTTCCAATAGGCTTTCGCGGATATGATTTTCTTAGTTTTTGGAATGGGGGAAATAAGTGAAGCGTGCACATGGTTTATATGTTGCCTGTAACTTTATTATACACAAACTAATTTGGGTTTCTTCTCATGATCTATTCAACCACCTTTTAAAGATGAGCACATAAAAGTACAACACAAAATTGGAAAAGCAGCAATGCCTCTAATCCCACAGAAGGGCTCCAATGCCCCAGTCTTGCCTTAGGAAAGAAAAGTTATTTACCTAGCAATTTAATATTCTTTATGGTGTTTTAACATAAGGATGAATGAAACTTTTTCTGTGAAAGACACACATTTCCTTCTGGATAATTTGTTGGAGACTATTGTAAACCAAAGGTGGAAATGGTGACCTGACTCCCACTGTGCTCTTCTTTCTTTCTCTCTTTTTAAAATTTTGCTACAGTTATGACCTCAACATTTGCAAAGTGATTTTCCTCCATTGCCGCATTTAGATTTTCCACTCCTTCTTTTGTTTGGTTCATGTGGATAAAATTAGGCTGAGGTCTGCATTTGGCCCTAGGGCAGAATCTCAATACATTGTTCAACAAGGAACTTGACATCTGGAATATTCTGTTCCTACGGACAGTTTTCCCCATAGCAGATGAGAATAATCATCATCTAGTTATAGCTACACACACAAACTGCCTAAGGAAACATTAATGTAAGAAGGAAGAAAGGTTCTTAATTGACTCCAAATTGTATCACCTTTCTTAAGTCTTGTTCCCCCCACTCAGTTAGTATACCCTCTTGAGCCACGGTGGTGCAATGGGTTAAAATTCTTGTGCCTGCTGAATTGTTGACCGAAAGATTGATGGTTCGAAGATAGGGCGAGCTCCTGTCTGTCAGCTCCAGCTTCTCATGTAGGGACATGAGAAAAGCCTCCCACAAGTAAGGTAAAACATCCAGGCATCCCCTGGGCAATGTCCTAACAGACAGCCAATTTTCTCACACCAGAAGCGACTTGCAGTTTCTCAAGTTACTTCTGACACAAAAAAAGTATACCCTCTTTTCTAAGAACAATAATTAAGAAATGTATGAGATTTCAGTCCAACCCAATGGCTCCTTTGTTCTCAACTATCAAACCCTTCTAGAATACTTGGAGGTAGAAGAACCGGGATATTGAACCAGGAGATAACAATATTCTATTGTTATGTGTTGTTGTTTGATATTTGATGTTTACATATGTGAGGCATTGAATCTTGCCATTGATTATGCAGTGAACTGCTTTGAGTATCCCCCAGGGGTGAATCAAAACTTGCAGAGAGATTTCTGAGGAGAAATCAATTCCTGGCACAGTACCAAGCAGGATTCAAAATTCCCCATTATTAGGACAAAATGTAGACATTAAAGCAGATAAAAAGACAATGACTGCAGAAGTCAAAGACAAAAAGAATAAAGGACATAAGAAATGGTCAGACAGACATGGCTGTTTTTGTCATGGCTCTCATGGTAGATGAAAACAAACAGAGAGAGGCAGGAGCCCTGCTTAGTTATTCACTCAGCTTTAGGCTCCAGTTGGTTCTGCATAGGCCCACAAGTATGAGTCACAAAGACCACAAAATAGAATCTATAATTTCAGTCATTTAACAGAAGTGAAATGTACTTTAAAATGGAACTATGCCACATGGTGTCAGATTAATGGAACTGCACCTTGTGTACAAGTATCAAGTCTAGGGCATTTCAGGGTGCAAGATGATCACCCGAAGTACAATGCACCACTGGAATGTCAATCTTTCTTTCAAAGATTTTTGTCTCTTAGAGCAGACGTAAATCTTGACATCAATACTATAATATTGCCCGTGTCCTCCTAAGACTGTACCGTTTTATATGGACACATTCAATCATGCAGTTCTCTATATGCATCTAGATCAGTGGTTCTCTACCTGTGGGTCCCCAGGTGTTTTGGCCTTCAACTCCCAGAAATCCTAACAGCTGGTAAACTGGCTGGGATTTCTGGGAGTTGGTAGGCCAAAGCATCTGGGGACCCACAGGTTGAGAACCACTGCTTTAGATTCACTGAACACAAACACAAGCAATTTATGCTAAAATAGGACACTTCCCCATAACAAGCTAGCACTCCATAGTAAAGGTGAAAAATTGCAAAAATAATCCAGGAATTTTTTGTGGCTTCAAAAGAAAAAGAGAGGTCTAATGAAACCTTGCAAAGTTCTTTTAATTCACAGGTGGAAGAATTGTGGCCTTCAAGATTTTGTTGAACTGCAACTGCCATTAGCCTTAGATATCATACTCAACAGGGGAGGACTGATGGCAGAAATCCATCAGCATCTAGAGGACCATAAATTTCCTACTCAGGTTGCTGTGAGTTTTCCGGGTTGTATGGCTATGTTCCAGAAGCATTCTCTCCTGACATTTCACCCACATCTCTGGCAGGCATCCTCAGAGGATGGATGGACATTCCACAGATATATAAATCTCACTTGCGAAGTTTCCAACAGACCCCTCAAACTCCGAGGATGCCTGCTATAGATGTGGGTGAAACGTCAGGAGAGAATGCTTCTTGAACATGGCCATACAGCCAGGAAAACTCACAGCAACCCAGTGATTCCGGCCATGAAAGCCTTCAACAACACAATTTCTTAACCATTGGCAAGAGGACATATCTTTCTCGCTTTCTTTCAAAGCTCTAATACCAATATAAGCAGGGATCTTTTCCAGTGATCTGTAGATAGGCAAGAATAATTAACTATTCCAAAAAGGTTCTTCCAGAACCCAGTACCTACCTCCACTTTCACATGCTTGTAAGCAAACCTGCCCAGTTTTCTAGCGGTAGGCTGCAAGCACTTTGATCTATTGCAGTGGTTCTCAACCTGGGGTCCCCAAATGTTTTTGGCCTTCAACTCCCAGAAATCTTAACAGCTGGTAAACTGGCTGGGATTTCTGGGAGTTGTAGGCCAAAAACACCTGGGGATTCCAGGTTGAGAACCACTGGTCTATTGAGACAGCTCCCTTCTCTTTCCCATTATATTTGGGCACATGGCACACAAGCACACACAGAAGACTGAAGCACATGGATAATCTTTATTGTTAGAGGAGCACCGGTGATCCATTACTGACTGTAGTGGAGACACAGCTGAGGCACATGCTAAGGCACTTATTATATAAAAAAAGTTTGCAAATTTATTTGTGACAGCAATTGGAACAGGAAACTCCCAGGGTGAGGGCAGTAACCGTATGGTATAGGTTCTTTTTTTTCTTCTTAATTTGTCATTTGCTCAGAAGTCTAAATGCAGCATATACAATGTGGTTAAGTATACAGGTAAATCCAGCAACCAGTGTACAGTGTAGAAAAGTAAAGACTATCTATATAACCGCAGTCCCCATAGAAAGGCAGTGATAAAGACCTTTATTTTTCTTAATTACTTATAAACAAGAGAGATACAAAGGCCTTTCAACATATAATCTGTGCAGATTAAGTTTCTTCTTCTTTAATATACTCTTAGTCATTGTGCAGAATAACTAAACCCATCCCCCAATTATAGAGCAAAAGGCTTGGACGTTACAATAAAGAAGCACTTCCTTGCCCACACTCCATTCTAACCGCTAGGATTCTGTCTGTTGCCATTAAATATATTTGGTCCCAAAGATTATCCAACAACCACAAAGAGAAGCCTTCCGGTTTCCTTTGCCTGTCACTAACTACTGATTCACACAGTCTTAGACACAAAGCCGGAGACACTTAACACAGACACCATTGCACTTCAGATCTGTCCAGATATTTTAGCCATTAGGAAGGATTGACTCTCAAAGTCTCTCCTAGGAGAAAGCATCTTCCCCCTTCACCTATCCGTCCCCAAGACTATGTGGCCTTCAACGTTTGGGGGTCATGCTGAGAATCCTCATTTTTCCTGTTCAACACGACCCCCAAACTGGCTAGGTGGGCAGACCGAAGAGGTCAAAAGTGTGAGGTCACTGAGCATGATTGCCAAAAGCAAACAAGGAGAAGAGGAAGGGGTGAAGGGAGATCCCTGCATCTATCACAAACTCGTTATTGGAAGAAAATAGTTGATTTACAGCAACAAAAAGTAGTCTCTTCCCTCCCCCCTCCCCGCCCCCCACCCTTTTGCCAAACTATATAAATTCACTGGCAGCCATGGCAAGGACACTAAATGCTACAGGCATCTGTAGCTCCCAGACTCTGATCAGACTGCAGACTCTTTGGCATTGAAGACAAGAGTTTAGAAGCTGGGAGGGGTGGCATTAATGTCTGATGGCTCCAGATATTCCAGGGAACATTTTGACAGACGTGGTCCACTTTCCCTGGCAGAAGCGTTTGCAAAAGTCCACTGAACAAAGGGAGGGTGGGTCACTCCATCACGTGTCACCTGGGTGCAAGAAGCAGCTCTATTCAGTAGCTTTGGCATCACCAGCATCCGACTTGCCGTCCACTTCTTCATCAGACACTTCACCTGCACCCTTCCGGGGGATCCGGCGAGTGACCACAAATGGCATGTCTCCTCGCCTGTTAGAGAGAGTAAAACCATTTAAGTGTATGGAAATTGGGATTTCATCTTTAGTCAGGTACTGGGGTATTCAATATATACAGCAGTGAGGCACAACCATGGAAAACATCAATCTTACCTGAGTTTGCTCTTCAGGGAGCTGACCTCTCGGTTCATGGCATCAGCAGTTTCACTGACATCCTCCAGCTCTCGCTGCAGCTTTCGGCGAGCTGCATTGGCTCGCTGTGCCTCTTCCTCGGCCTCCTCCAGCTGGCGTTTAAGCTGCTTCAAGCGCACATTCACCTTGTCGGCCTTCAGAACAAAAAGAGAAGTCATCACACCTCTCGCTCATTCACACGGGAACTCCCAGTGGCGCAATGAGTTAAATGAGTTGTAATAAAATATAATAATAATAATAATAATAATAATAATAATACATTATTATTATTATTATTATTATATATTTTATATTACATGTAATATTACAATATAAGTGTAGTAGAATCTAGTAATATATAATACTGATATTGTACTATGCTAATATTGTAATATATTGTATGTATATATATCTTATAAGCCGCTCTGAGTCCCCTTCGGGGTGAGAAGGGTGGCATATAAATGTCATAAATAAATAAACCCTTGTGCTGGCAGGACTGCTAACCAAAAGGTTGGCAATTCGAATCCAGGGAACAGGGTGAGCTCCCGTCTGTCAGCTCCAGCTTCTCGTGTGGGGGGATATGAGAGAAGCCTCCCAAAGGATGGTAAAATATCCAGGCATCACCTGGGCAATGTCCTTGCAGACAGCCAATTCCCTCACACCAGAAGCAACTCGCAATTTCTCAAGTTGCTACTAACACAGAAAAAAAACCTCATTCACATCTGAGTATGGACAATAACTTGGAATCCTTAATATTTAGTACACAGATTAGACACTTCCTGTGCTCCAATGAAGGCTTCTGGAAAACAAAATCAACTTTACATCTGTGCAGCTGCTTCTTTTATGTTACACATAGCTATATAACAGTCAGAGCCAGCTTTTAGAAGTTGAGTACCATGAACTATTTGGATATTTCAATGCTAAATTAAAGCGTTTCCATTACAAAACATCCTGGTTTGCGACATTTATTATCGAATGGATGAAATTCTACCAATGCAAAGACTTTTGCCACCCCCACGGGAAAGGGTGGAAAAGTCTATAAAGGACTACACTGCCAACACCCTAACAGCTTCAACAGATGTTTGGGTGGCACTGGTTTCCTACTACACAGCTCAGACGTACCAAACACAATCCCCTCAACACTGCACATACCTGATCCTTGTATTGCTCAGCATTACGCCTCTCATCCTCCACTTGCAAGACAACATCCTTCAGTTTCTTCTCAGCACGTCGCACCTGTTTGCTGGCAGCCTGGCGCTCCCTGAAAAGGAAATCACAAGGTCAAGTGGATGAAGATTCCTAAGCAGCCAAGGATTATATATCTTCAGACAAATCTCTAGGTCTTTTGCAATGAAGTTAACTGTTAAAATATAGTATCATATATTTGGTAGTAATGTGTCAAAGTGATGTTTTATTACCTTCAAAACTTTCAAGACCAAGACAACATCTGAGTGTGATTCTGTTATTAAGCCAGAAGCAAGCAGAAAAGAGATCACAACACAGATTCCCTATGGGCACTGTCTGGAGTCTAAGCAGAGTGCCTGCCAAGGTCTGCATGACATAGGACTAATTTGTGCTCATCTAATTTAGTTGTAAGGCCCCCCTGCTGGCATGGCAGGTTAAACCGCTGAACTGCTAAACTTGCTGACTGAAATGTTGGTGGTTCAAATTCAGGGAGCAGGGTGAATTCCCGCTGTTAGCCCTAGCTTCCGCCAACCTAGCAATTTAAAAACATGGAAATGTGAGTAAATCAAAAGGTACCACTCCGGAGGGAAGGTAACGGCGCTCCATGCATTTATGCTGGCCACATGACCTTGGAGGTGTCTAAGGACAATGCAGGCTCTTCAGCTTAGAAATTGAGATGAGCACCACCCCCAGAATCGGACACGACTAGACTTAATGTCAGGGGAAACCTTTACCCTTACTAGTTTAGTTTTAAAATCAATTAGCATGACTAATGCCCAGCTCTCTACAAGCCAATATCTGAGAGATTTAGTTGACTCTAAACAATCTCTAAAGAATCTGTTTCGCTCAGATTCTTTTCTAGAGGTATCATACATCTGTGTGCGTTAAAGTGAGGGATATGCAAGACACTCAAGAGAAATGTTTGTGTAATTAGCACCTTTGAATTCCTCTGGGACATGCACTTGTGTCCCTTGAAATAGCCACTTGTTGGGAGGTTGGATTTTGGCCATATGGGCTGGAGTCTGGAAGCCTTAACAACAGACACACATATCAAAAAATATTCTGCCGCCTCCACTTCCGAAAGTCAGCCGCAATTATTACACAAAATCAATTTTTACCTCAGAAGGTAAAAACCACAAACACCTACTTTGTTTCACTATCCAGCTGCTCCTCCAGTTGTGCAATCTTTGCTTCCAGAGCAGTGATGGAAGACTTGTATTTAGATTTCACAGCGGCTTCCATTTCTTGAAGTTTGGCTTTAAGTTCCTTGTTCTGACGCTCAGCCTGCTGGCGAGCATTTTCGTTCTTCTGGGCATTGCTACGCTCTGCATTCAGATCTGTATTTATCTGATCAATCTGGAGAAGAATATTTGAATTAGGTTAGTCATATAAAGTTTATGAAAAAATTCCCTCCTTTCATTTCTGCCTCCTTACACCTGCCTGCGCTTCTGTTTGTATCCCTTTCATTATGATCTTACCCTTTTAATGTAGTTCTTCATGTAGGGTGTGTTCTTGACCATTTTATGGTGTGAGGTTTTGGAAATACTTTCTAAAGTATATTATGTCAAAAATATTTTTTAAAAACTAGGTATACTTAATTACAAAAATGTGAGTTAAGCACTTAAAGGGTTAAATGGATGCATTGACTCAGCAAAAGCTGAAAGCAGGTGTGCCTGTAACTTAGTAGCCCTCAGTCTGCAAGAGGTCTCTGTGGGAGAAGGGCCTCAGTGTGTTAGTAGGCCTCATAATGAGAAGGCCTCGGTGTTAATTCACATCAGTGTATGAGAGGCATCATTCTGAGAGAGTCTTCTGTGTGAGAAGGCCTCAGTGTGAGGTAGGCCTCAGTATTACTAGGCCTTGGTGTGAGTAGGCCACTTGTTTGAGAAGCTTTGGAGAGAGAACCTCAGGTTGAAGGCCATCATGTAGTAAAGGCTGCTGTGTGTAAAAAGCTACTGTGTGAAACTCCTGTGTAACTTCGGTGTGAGAAGAGGCTCTATGAGAGTGATGCTGTTTATCTGCATAAGAAAGAAGCCCATCATAGAAGCAAAGAAGAAAGTATAAAGAACTTCATTTGCGTTATGGAAAACTTGTTCTTGTAAACAGTATGACCATACTATTTTGCTATAAAGAAAAGCCTCCTAAGGAAGAGATAACATTGGTCTGTGTGTTTTTTGTTCTTTTTATCACTTTTGGCTGGGTCATGCTACTGCTGATAAGTTACTGTTATACATTCATGGGGAGGGTCTTTTGTTAATAAGCCCACTCACCCAACGTATTACATATATTAACTGTTTTGGCTTACGAAGCAAGCATAATTTGTTCTTGCAAGAAGTGCTCAGCATCAGCATTAGTTCAAGCTTGCAGTAGCTGACTCCTCTGGTATAACAGGGAAGGTGATTTTCCAAATACTGAGGATTTTTTCAGTGTGCTGATACAAAGCCACACCTAGTTGAAGGCCATTCAAGATATTGCAAAATAGTCAAATGATAGGAAAGAAGAATTTATATAGATGAATGTCACCAGCCTCTTTAACTATCGTACAGCTATTATGTTTATATCAAAAGGCAAGCTATGATTCATGAGTCCATGCACCCACATCATACAAGAAGAATGTTTACTTTGAGTCAGTGGCTAATACTCTGGCAGGAGGTTTAGCTAAACTATATTATCCAAAGTCCATACCTGAAAGATGTCAAACATTAAACACAGGGTTCTGCATTTATCAATTCAAAATGGACTGAACTAATGGACCCCTTGGGAAATTGAACCAAAATGAAAATTGTGATCCTTTAGCAAAAAGGAGACAATACAGTACAGAACAAAGCCCCTGGTAAACGGATGCAGACACATAATGTGGAGGCATTAGAATCAAGACATTTCTCAATAGATCTTCTCTGCTTTACGTGCACTTCCTCCAAAACACACAAGATGTACCTGAAGATTTGCTTTCTTGAGGCGGTCATTCACCAACTCTGTATTGCTCTGCTCCTCCTCCAGTTCCTCTTCCAGCTGAGCTATCCGGGCCTCCAAGCGCCGTTTTTCCTCCATGGCCAGAGCTCTGAGAAGCAGAAACAGTGATAAGTTCAATTTCATGACAAGGGTTACTACAGAAATATGGAACCTTTGCAAGGGGTTCTCAGCATACCACTTAACATGCCAGTATCATGGAGCAACCTTCCCAGGATGCAATGAAATTTCTTCTCCTTGAAGGTTCGAAGTGCCATTCCTACTCACCCTTTGCCACTACTGTTGGCAATTTCATCCGCTAACTCATCTCTCTCTTGCTGAGCCTGGCGCTTGGCACGTTCCGCTGCTGCGAGTTCCTGAAATCAGAATGAGATGTATATTGACTACCGATCAAATTCAAGCTTACTAATGGATAGGCAGCATCTAGAAGCAAATTATTACTAGCAGAGAATATTTCAAAAACAGGAAGCTCTCCAACTCCCTAGTTGAAGTGAAAGTTAAGAATGGGGAACTGGGCACAGGACTCCTGAATAACAAAGCAACCACAAAATTGCCATCAAAGTAGTTTGTAATACTATGAAGTTACTAAACAGGGAGCTAACCTCTAAATATAGTCACGTTTCCAACCAAAACATCACATGACATGTGAAAAAGATCTTGGAGTCCTCGTGGACAACAAGTTAAACATGAGCCAACAATGTGATGTGGCGGCAAAAAAAGCCAATGGGATTTTGGCCTGCATCAATAGGAGCATAGTGTCTAGATCTAGGGAAGTAATGCTACCCCTCTATTCTGCTTTGTAGACCACATCTGGAATATTGTGTCCAATTCTGGGCACCACAATTGAAGAGAGATATTGACAAGCTGGAATGTGTCCAGAGGAGGGCGATTAAAATGATCAAGGGTCTGGAGAAACAAGCCCTATGAGGAGCGGCTGAAAGAGCTGGGCATGTTTAGCCTGAAGAAGAGAAGGCTGAGAGGAGATATGATAGCCATGTATAAATATGTGAGAGGAAGCCACAGGGAGGAGGGAGCAAGCTTGTTTTCTGCTTCCTTGGAGACTAGGACGCGGAACAATGGCTTCAAACCACAAGAGAGGAGATTCCATCTGAACATTAGGAAGAACTTCCTGACTGTGAGAGCCGTTCAGCAGTGGAACTCTCTGCCCCGGAGTGTGGTGGAGGCTCCTTCTTTGGAAGCTTTTAAGCAGAGGCTGGATGGCCATCTGTCAGGGGTGATGTGAATGCAATATTCCTGCTTCTTGGCAGGGGGTTGGACTGGATGGCCCATGAGGTCTCTTCCAACTCTTTGATTCTATGATTCTATGATTCTATGATTCCAATGCATAACTTGGCTGGAAAGAATGCAAGTGAAGCTTGCCTTAGTACTAGATTAAGGTAGCGGAGATGCTCACAAAGGCCCTGCTGAGAAAGACTTGGTTCAAAGTGAGTAGTTTTCAACCTCTGGGTCTCCATATGTGTTTTTGCCTACAACTCTCTGAAATCCCAGCCAGTTTACCAGCTGTTAGGATGTCTGGGAGTTGAAGACCAAAACATCTGGGGACCCACAAGTTGAGAACCACAGGTCTACAGGATTTTAAAATACAAGGGCATATCTGCTGCTATGGAACTCAGTCATTCATAGGAGCTTTTTGGATGCAAATTACCTCCTGCATCTGAATCATCTCTGCTTCCATGCTCTTCAGTTTCTTTTCATTCTCTTTGGCCTGAACCAAAATTTCTTCTCTGGAGGCACGGGTGTCATCCAGCTCCCGCATGCAGTCCTTCATTTGGGCCTAAAATACCAAAGACAATCTCATGAACCTGTAATATCGACTTAAAATACATCAGGCTAATTTGTCCATCTAACCTCACAGTCAACCAGCAGTAGCTTTCCAGGCCCTTGGATAAATGGGCTTCCAACTCTACTGCCAAATAATGTTTAATTAGAAAAGCCTGGACTCAGTCTGAGAACTTCTGTACATCAAGTGCCATGTCTATCAGTGTTATGGCTCTTTTTGTAGTGTACCTTCAAGTTGCTTCTGACTTATGGAGACTCTAAGGCAGTGATGGTGAACCTTTTAGAGATGGAGTGCCAAAACCAGGGAGGAAGAAGAGGGTCGGGTAGTCAGGGATGGTGGTGGTGGGTATGGTGAGCGGGGAGGGAGGCAAGTGGGGGGGGGGGGAGGGGTGTGAGAGAGACGAGCAAGCAGGAGGGTGAATGAGTAAATGGAGGGCAGGTAAGTGAAGGAGGGTTAAGAAGGAGATCAAATGAAGGGTGGGAAGGCGGGCAGACAAATGAGTGAGCAGGGTGGGGGAGCAAGCGGGCAAGCAAGCAGGGGGTTGATCAAGCAGGATGGCGAGTGGGGGATGGATGATGGCACATGTACCATAGGTTCGCCACCACTGCTCTAAGGCAACCCTAATTTCTTGATCAGACGATTCTGATACATAATATATCTCGTATACATAACCTTTGCCATTTTATACCTCTGATGCCAAGAGAATGCTTGACTTGTCCAATGTCTCCCAATGGATTTCCATGGCTGACCTATTTGTTTATTTGCAGTATTCCAGGCTTCTCACCCTGAAGAGGACTCAGGGCAGATCTCAGAACACAAATACGGCAAACATTCAATGCTGATTATACAATGACAAGACAGACAACAAGACAGAGGTATATATAGGCTTTCTCATCTTTCAGCATCTTTGGAGGCTGTGCTCGGTTCCGGCCACAGGGGGTGGTGTTGCCCCATCTCTTTGCCAAAGAGCTTTCTTTGTCCTTTTTCTGATCAAAACACCATGTCTAAATACCTCCCTGCTTTAAAGTGGTTCCTATTTATCTACTCAAATTTGTTTTCAAACTGCTAGGTATGCAGAAGCTGGGCTAAAGGTCACCCTGACCCAGGCTTCGAACTGTCAACCTTCTGGTTGGCAAAACTTATTGCAGCTTTGTGATTAACCTGCTCTGCTAAAGCCAGGCCCTTTGAACCCAAGCATTCAAACCCTAATCTTCTAGACTCCTTATTTTGCAAAGACGTCATGAGGTACAATTTGGGTTTCTTTTTCCCTTGCAAAGTATTGCCAGCAAAAAAAATATATGTACCTGCAACTTCCGAAGCTGTTTGATGGCTTCCTCTCGATTCTTGTTAGCAGTGTCTATGTGGGCTTCAAGATCTTTTAGGTCCATTTCCAGCTTCTTTCTGGCTGCCACAGCAATGGAGCGCTGTTTTCTCTCATCTTCTAGCTCCACTTCCATTTCTCGCACCTGCATGGGATCGAAGCACAGATTATTTAGTCACAACCATAACTTTGTTTCCTTATCTCTGAAGGAAAAGAGAAAGGCAGAGGGGAACAAGGTACTGCAACTTTGCCACAGAGGTGTGAAGAGCCCCTTCCCTGGTTTTTCGGATGCTGGAAGCAATGTAGACTTCTGAGTTGTTACCTGTCTCATCAGCTGCTTTCTCTTTTCTTCATTCTGTTCATCGCGGGCTAATAGGTCCCTTTCAAACTGAGCCTTCATGGCTTGCTGGTTCACTTCCAGGCGCAGCTTGGCATCTTCTGTGGCCTGGAGTTCATCCTCCAGCTCTTCCAGCTGAGTCTTCATCTCCTCCATCTGCTGCTCCAGAGCACGCTTGGACTTCTCCAACTCATGGACCTGCAGCACAAACAAACTCATTAGGAAAGGAATACAATCTCACTTTTCTCCAATTCACCACCTACCTTCAATAATTCCAAACTCTCTAGATGAATCTTCTTTATGGGGGCTGTTATTACAAACATCACTTGCATAGGAATCTCTGGTATCTACATGTTCATCTCATCCTATTTAAGCAACATTTACTGACACCATAAGAAAGGGTTTTACAGTACAGTTGCATGTGGTCATTGTGCAAGAGATATCAGTACAGTACCACTGAAGGAGAAATGCCTTGGAAATTCCAGTCCCCAATATATTTCAAGAATGTCCCTGTGGCAAAAATGCGTTACCAGTTTGTGTGTCTTCACTATGGGCTAAATAAAGCACATTCCATTTGGTGCCAGCATTCAAATTCAAACTAGTAAATACTGATATAGCTCTTATTTAAAAGCCTTTACAGCTACATGCAGCTAACACTCAACTCATTCGCGTCCATATTTTATGGGAAGAGCACAATATATCACTTTTTAAAAGTACTTTCCATGTCCATTTCTCAACTTCCTGGCTAATACGTTTCTTTCCCAAGCTTACTGGTAGGACCAGAAGTCATCAACTGATACATCTGTCATCACCTTACTCCTATGGTATCAGAGGTCATACTTACACTCTTGCCAACATCATCCTTTGAGCTCATCAGATCTTCCATTTCAGTCCTGAACTGCTTATTGAGGCGCTCCAGCTCAGCCTTCTGTTCTGTGGCTTCTTCAAGTGCTCTGGCCAAGGAGAGGGCTTTTGTTTCCTTCTCACGTGCTTCTGCTTCAGCGCGGTCCCGCTCTTCAGCGTATTTTGCAGAGATTGTTTTCTCCTCTGCCAACAGCTAGAAAAGGAAAGTTAGAGGTGAGATTTAAACCAGTCTTAGTTCTGTCAGCTGGAACAGGGTTTAAAACCAAGTATAGTTCTTGAGAGGCAAACACAAACACCAAAGCAATGCAGACATTTTAAAGCTTATCTGCTTTTAGTACAATACTCTGCTCATCTCTGGGGGAAGGGGACCCAGAAAGAACAGATGGAGAACATAACTTCCAAAACACCAAATCAGAAAACAGGATATAGGGATTGTGTGGCTTTTGGATCTCCATTACCCTTCATTTATGGAACAACGAATGTACATTTGCCATACAGACACTTCTGCTCCTTCATAGTTATTTCCAGTTTACCTGATCAAACTTCTTCTGTTTTTTCTCCAGATTGGAGACAATCTGCCGCTGATGATCCAAATCCACAGCAAGGTCGTCCAGCTCTTGCTGCAACCTGGTCTTTGTTTTTTCCAGCTTGTCATAGGCAGCTGCTTTTTCCTCATAACGTTGGCTCATGGCCTCCAGATCTTTCTGAAGCTTCTTCTTTGCTTCTTCCACTGATTCCAGAGAGCCCACGCTATCATCCATTTTCTTCTTCATTTCTGCAATCTATGGGGGACGGAGGAAGGAGGGCAAAAGGACAAGCGGGATGGTGTTATTGTTCCCATATCTGAAGGGGGTTTGAATGCCTTAACTTCCAGACTCCTAATCCAGCACTCAAACCCCTACACCACACTGGCTCTTTAACAATACATTCAGATCCCCAAATGTGATCTAATTTAACTAATCGGCTTCTTAAACTGTGGCGTGAAGTTGGTTTGTTTCATCAAATTACAGATTAATATTAAGCATTATTTATTCAATCTGTTGTCAATGTACAACAAAGGCAACATCTTCCCAGCCTTCACCCCTCACAACCATGAGTGCAGCATGCAACCCCTAGACATATCACTGTTGCACTAACGTACCTGAAGTTGAAGAGCAGAAATCTGTTTCCCCAAATTCCTTTTTGTCTCTTCCTCTTCTTCTAGCTGCTCTCTGAGGCTGTTCTTCTCATCTTCCACCTGTTTCAGCTTGGTGCTAAGGCTCAGTTTCTGACGGGTTTCCTCCTGAAGCAATTCCTGAAACATTCACCACATTGAACATTTAGTACTTTATGCTGAAGAGTAGATTAAACTTCCGAAATACGTTACATCCAAAGTGAAGAGAACCTTAATTAGTAGTAGATTGTCAGTCAAAAAGTCCACAAATAAAATGGGCCTGCAGAATGTACTTTTGTATATGAAGCAGCATGGCCAAACAGTGCAGTGTACAAAACTTCTTAGAAGCATAAGCCAGACCATCCAAGTAGTCTACATAAGCCAGACCATCCAAGTAGCAGTATCAGACATTTCTAGTTGGGGTTGGCCTGTCAGAAATATTAAAAAATTAACTGGGTATTTTTGATTACAAAAATGTGAGTCAAGCACTGAAAAAGTGAGTAGGCCAAAGCTTGTTAAGAGTCAGCTGGCCAAAGCTAGTGTCGTCCTGGGGAGAGTAAGTACCTCAGTATGAGAAACTGCCAGTGTGAATGCTGCTGCGTGTAAAAACCTACTATGTATAAATTACTCTGCTGTACATTTCTGGGGAGGCTATTTTGTTAATAAAGCCCCTCGTCCAACATGGGCAACAAATCCTAGAAATATCATTGATGTCTTCTGTCTCTACCCTGTTTGATTTATCACTTTTTTTTCTTGCTTTTGTGAAGCATGGGTACATTACTACACCTGTTAGTAAATTAGGAAACCTGCTTCACTTCTAATAGTCTTGGAACACTATTGATATGCCCCCCAAGTATAAAGATATAAGGGATGGAAACTCTCAATTGATTTATTCTTGTAGATAATGACACATAAATATTGCCGTTTTCTTTCGCCCTTCCCCAGTAGAAAACAAATAGTTCTGAACAATATTCAAACATACAAAGTTTAATAAAAATCAAGTGAAGTACTTCAGGAAGTTTGAATGCTGGGAGAAAATGGCATGAACATCGCTCCACAATATTATTCTTCCCAATAGATTTTCGCAAACATCAGGGAATTCATTTTCAACCAGGAAACAAATAACAGAGAATATTATTTCTATGCTCAGTAAAGACCATCCTGTTTCTTACACTCTACTTCCAAACTTGAGATGTTTGGGACTCATTCATGCCACACTATTGTGATGCAACAGTGTCGGCCTTCTTGCAAAGGCTAAAGCTAGGAAAGCGGCCTGCCCTGAAAATATTACGAAGCATAACCTGACACGTCCCCAGAAGGGAAGGAAGAGGGGTTTCCTGATTATCCCATTTAGGGAACTCTAGTTTTATTGTTCCTGTTCTGCACCAGTCTTCAAATCTTTCACATTTAAGCCAGGGGAAGTATAGAGGTGTGCTGACAGAAAACCAGTGAGTAACAGGAAATAACAAGCAATTATGTCAATGCCTGACCTGTGTGTCCTGCAGTTGTGACTCCAGCGTAGAGAAATCTTTGGCTAGTTTAATTGACTTGCTATCTGACTGATTCAGGAGACCAGTGACATTGTCCAATTCAACCTGAAAGAGTACAAGAAAAAACATGAATAAAAGTTAATTATCTACTGAAGTTACCTTCTTGGAGCAAAAAAGAAGCATAAAGAGGCAGGTATGCACACACATATTTTTCAGTTAAGGCTATATTAAATTACTGCAAGATTTGTAAACCCAATATTAGTATCCATAAGTACCCTAGCTGCCACTTCATCTCTTGGAAGTAAGTAGCTTAGTATTTATTTTATGGACAGTTCTCAGTGTTTCAAAGAGGACCACTCATATATTTCCATAAATTATTTTGTCTTAAATTTAAAGAGTAACTAAAACAGGCAGGGGAAAACTTGGGCCCTCCAGGTGTTTTGGATTTTAATTCCCACAATTCCTAACTGCAGGTAGGCTGTCAGGAATTGTGGGAGCTGAAGTCCGAAACACCTGGAGGGCCCAAGTTTGCCCATGCCTGAACTAGAAGGACAAGGAGGAGAGAAAATCACTCAGAATCCTTACCTGCAGTTTGTTAACCTTCTCGGCTAGCTCAGTTCGTACTCGTTCCCCTTCTGTGAATTTCACTTGCAGCTCTTGAAGCTGAGTTTCACATCTCTTTCTCTTGTGTTCAGAGTCTCCTTTGGTCTGCAGAAGAACCTTCACCTCGTTGGATAGTTCGACGCGTTCACTCTCCAGGGCCTGCTTGGCCTTTTCAAGGTTCACTTTCACCTGAAGGAGACAGGAAGAGATCTTTTTATGTGGAAAAAGGGAACACCATGTGCAGCACCTCTAAGTTTTTATTGATTTTGCTCTCTCCAACAGGTGGGGGCATGCTATTTCAGAATGCCAACAGCACCCCAAAACCTCCAGAAGGAACTATTAGTTATTTCACTCGAGGAGAGGGCAAGTTTCCTGTCCTGCTTAAACCCATTGACATGTCTCCCATCAGCAACTCCTTGATCACATCCAGATTCAAATAAAAGGTCCGTGTGAGCCTGAATCAGGTGGGACGATTAAAAATGTGACAAAATTGTGAAACAATCCCTAGCAGCTTTGCCGGGGGGGGGGGGGGGGGGTGTACTGCTTGCTTAGATTCTTTTTTTTCTAGTAAAACTATTTGTGTTGAGACAAAAATGGGTGAATGTTTAGCTATTGAGTCCCGTGAAGTTGCAATGCAATCTCTAATTCCTTAATATATTGTATGAGGCATTGAGGAAGGCACCCCAAGTCCCTTTGGGGAGAGCGGGCAAGTAAGAAATAAAGTTGTCCTGCTTTACAATAAAGAGTCAAATATCCAAAAGTTTTACAGTGATAGGCTGCCATCTAGTTAATGACATAAACAATATTAAAGTACACTGTACACTTGCATATACTTTTCAGTTGTTGAAGAGAGGAAGCTAATACTCTGCCTCCCTTTACAATGACCAAAACAACTCCATCCTCCAAATCACCTCTGATGCTGCCAGAGGATCCCAGTGGATCATGATAGATAATATCACTCTGCCTTTGACTCTGCTTCTCTGTTTTTTTGTTTTGTTTTGTTTTTGGTGTCAGGAGCGACTTGAGAAACTGCAAGTCGCTTCTGGTGGGAGAGAATTGGCCATCTGCAAAGACATTGCTCAGGGGACACCCAGATGTTTGATGTTTTACCATCCTTGTGGGAGGCTTCTCCCATGTCCCTGTATGGGCAGCTGGAGCTGAAGGAGGGAGCTCAACTCACTCTCCCCAGATTCAAACCGCTGATCTGTCAGTCAATAGTCCTGTGAGCACAAGAGTTTCTCTGGTTAACCAGAGAATCAGGGAGAAATCTGGGGAAGTGACATAGCCCAGTATAACAACATTAGGATAGATCTTGATTAGAAAGACTGCAGTCACAAAACTAGCAGGTTTTCTAGAATTTTAATCCTTTCAAGAGGCAAAACCGGTCTCACTGGTTAACCCTATTTTGTACCAGCTAATGAATGACTCTGAAGAGTGGGCTATCACAGCAAAACAGTGAGTTCTAGATGTAGTGACAGTGGAGCCACATCCCCACAACTTTTATGCTATGGTCAGTAATATAGGACATCAGCCATAACATGTTATTCCTGTAAAGATATCAGGAGCAATGATGACAATGGAAAGATACCATGGTGTTGTTGTGTGCTTTCAAGTACTTTCCAAATTATGATAACCCTAAGACATGATTGAAAGGGGATTTGAACTCTGACCTCCAAGAGTTCCAGTCCAATATTCAAACCAGCTCATCATGTTGGCTCTCACCATGTTGTTGCTAGTTATTCTAGGACAAGATCATCAAATATTAATCGCTAGTACTCTTGCAGATAAAAGGAGACTAGCTAGATTAGCAGGTAGCCTAATCAATGATCAAAACTCCTCTAAAAATTGATTTGATGAGTTACTGAAACAATATCAATTTTCTTAAGTCATGCCAGAACATCACTTTTAGCCACCAAATATAGCATTTCTGAAAATAAATCATGGAAGTCAAGGTCATAATTAAAATGCATAATATATCAATGTTGCTCTTAAACTACAGGTGCAGAAACAGGAAGATGATTCTCAGCAGCACGTTTCTTAATGAGGTTCTTAACACTGGCATTATATTTTTGGGGATTCTCGCATACCCGTTTGGTCTGTTCCAATTGCTCTGCAAGCTCTTCCACAGCCTGGGCATGTTTCTGCCTCATTTCTTGTATCTGCGCCTCGTGGGTCTTGGCCTCTTCATCCAGGGTCTTCTTCAAAACAGTCACTTCTTGCTCACGTTTTGACCTATCAAAAAGCCCAGACGTTTATGTTAACTGGTCACTTACAAAATAAAATTATTTTCATTCCAAAGCTATCACAAATTTGGGTATCTCAAAGTTCTTATTGCCGGGCGCCTTTAAGTCACTTTCGACTTATGGCAACCCTATAGTGAACCTATCATGGGGTTTTCTTGGAAATATTCATTCAGAGAGGGTTTTCCTTTGCCTGTCTCTGAGACTGAGAGAGAATAACTTGCTCAAGGTCACCCAGTGGATTTCCAAGGCCTAGCAAGAATTCAAACTGGTTTCCAAAGTCATAGTTCGACGCACAACCAGTCATAAAGTTACTCAGTCTCTCGCTCATAAAGGTAAAGGTTTCCCCTTGACATTAAGTTTAGTCAAGTCTGACTCTGGGGAGTGGTGCTCATCTCCATTTCTAAGCCGACAAGCCGCCGTTATCCATAAACACCTCCAAAGTCATGTAGCTGGGCATGACTGCATGAAGTGCCATTACTTTCCCACCTGAGCGGTACCTATTGATTTACTCACATTTGCATGCTTTATTTTTTTTATTTTATTATTTTATTTACAACCTACCCATGCTTTAACTTTTGGCATCTAGTGTTATTTTTCTGCTTATACATATTATCTATCCCTCACCGCTGTGCTCCCCTCCCCCTCCCAAGCCACGGCTTTTACATATCATCTGTCCAAAATTTCAATTCTTCTTGTGGAGGTAAATTCCGTCTTTGTTTTTTAATCCTTTTTCAATAACTTTTCTCCATACATCATCAAAATCACTTTGTTTCCATATACCTCTTTTAACTTTTAATATACGTGTCAGCTTATCATTTATTGCCAATTTCCATACTTCCTTATACCACTCCTCTATTTGTATATTTATTTCTTTTCCAGTTTCTTGTTATAAGGCAGTCTTGCTATTGTTAATAAATTTGTTATCGCACCTTTATCCTCTTTTTTCAATTGTTTATTATTATATAATGATTATAGAGTTATACTAGGACTTCTTTCTATTCTAATATTCATTATATCTTCTATTTCTCTAAATACTTTCCCCCCAAAATTATTTACATATTTACATTGCCACCACATTTGTATATATGTTCCTGATTTATCTTTGGAAGTATTTTCATTTTTACTAATGCTATCTTTCCAAACCAAGATAAATGTATATTTTCATATTCTATTAAATTTTTTTGAACAACTTTTTGTTACCTCCCCACTGAAGTGGTACCTATTGATCTACTCACATTTGCATGTTTTCGAACTGCTAGGTTGGCAGAAGCTGGGCCTAACAGTGGGAGCTCGCCCCACTCCCCAAATTTGGACTGCCAACTTTTTGGTCAGCAAGTTCAGCAGCTTAGCCCACTGTGCCATCGGGGGCAAATCTGGGGAAGTGGCACAGCCCAGCATAACAACGTAAGGATAGATCTTGATTAGAAAGTCTACAGTCACAAAACTAACAGGTTTTCTAGGATTTTAATCCCTTCAAGAGGCAAAACTGGTCTCACTGGGACTGCAGGAGGCAAGTGTCACAGCTACCTGAGTTCCTGCTGTGCTGCAGTTGAGTCAAGTGTGTCCTCTAGCTCTGTCTTAAGAGCCTCCAACTCTTCACCAAGATCTCGCTTCTGTTTCTCAGCTTTGTTCCTGGCAGCTCTCTCCGACTCTAGGTCTTCTTGCAACTCTGTTAACTGAGACTCCAGCTCACGAATCTTCTTCAAAGCCATGTTCTTCTGAGCAGCTTCCTCTTCCACCCTGTACAAAACAGAGATATGTCATGCCAAGGTTTGAGGCCAAATTTGCTATTCCAGGGGATTTTGTTGAAATTCCCCTCATTTTTTATTGTTGTTCACAAACAAACAGAGAGAGAGAGGTCTAAAAATAGTTTGCCCTGCTTCCAGAGGGCACAAGGCATAGACCTTTGCTGACTAGGAAGGGTATCTGGTAAGAAAAAGACCTCATATAGGTCTATTACAACAGTGCTGGGGCAGGTATATGACAAAATTGGCACAAGGGTCTATTTTTATAGCATAGATAATATTTTGGGAAACATTAGGAAAAAAACACTTTGAGGATGCTGGGAGTAGGGGAGGGGCAGGACAATGAAAGGAGCCTGGATGGGCTTCATGGAATGTTTGCATGGCTTTGTCCTTTCCCAGTCCTGCCTTAAACAGAGACCACTGCTTTCAAAACTATTTTTAAAAAGCTAGCACAATCCCATCTCAAAGAAGCATAGGGCATATTTGCCAACCACGTGATTGCCAATATGAAATATAATCCCCCAAGGCCTAGGCCTCACCTAGCCAAAGCGGCTTGCAACTCCTCCTCCTTTTTCGCCAGCTGCATTTTGAGCTCTGCTATTTGAGCCTGCAGTTCAGCTATCTGATCATGCAGATCGGTGGAGTCCCCTTCTAGCTTCCTGCGAGTTTTTTCCAACTCCTGCCGTTGCTTTTCTTCCCGGCGCAATCGCTCTGAAGGAGAGAACAGTGGAGCATTTTATTTATTTCAATTCTAATGAACATTTCGCATAAAAAGTCTGAATACCAGAACCTGGATCTCAAAACCACTCCTGCGATGGGCTGGAATGACACCTCCTTGGTCAGATATACACATTAAAGATCAATGTTGGAAATGCTGCTCTTTGAATCCTTCAATAGTTACTCATGCCTCCCCATATTCCTCCTTTACTCTTAAAAAAAAAACAGCCCAACTAAAGCAGATTATGGCATTTCCTCAAAGTTATAGGACACCCATGAGAGGCATTCTATGCAAAGGGTGAAAACTACCCACAATCTTTTAAATAGCAAGTCAAATTAAGCAACAGCCTTTATAGCAGCATTACTAGCCATGTCACAAAAGTATCTTTCAGAACCAGCAGCAGTAACACAAACCCCAGTATTCAAACACCGCTGAATATACAAGACCAGAAATATTCCCACAGCAGGAAGAGAAATGGAACCAGCTGCTCTTCTCCATTGGGCTGTTTTAGAGATTGTTTTTATTCAGACCAAAGCTCAGCTGACAAAGCATATAACCTTCAGACATCCACCCACTGAATGGTTCCATCAGACTGATCAATATCTCCCATACAAACCCTCTACAGTCCTAGTGATATTAACTCATTGGTACCCAAAATCCGATGGAGTGAGAGATTTAACAGATCCTATGCATAAAGTGAGATGCTGCGATGGATGAGGGAAGACTGAACACACCAAACCCTCAGAGGTTCTTCCCTTACCTTCCAGCTCAGTTATCATTGCCTCATGCTTGTTCTTGAGTTTAGCTAAACTCTTGGATTTCTCTTCTTCCTCAGTTAAGTTAGTGGTGAATTCAGAAACCCTGTCTTCCAGCAGTTTCTTCTCCTACAGAAGCCAGAAAAATGGGTTTTGATGAATTATAAATACAGTAAGCCTCCTTTGAGAATAGGAAAAAGCTTAAAATAAAATAAATTAATTTAACATGAAATCATTCTTAATAAGCATATGCCCCCCTAACATGAATACTGAATGCCACCAATATTCAGCAATACCTCATAGCTTGCATCATTTCCTAAAATATCACTAGGGTGCCTGCATACGAACAGGTGCTTCCCTTCTCTTAAGCAGGTCAACATCTGAATATCGAATTCTCACTTAGCACCTCTTTGCTGCAATGTGGTTTGGGTTTGGGTTCAGAAGAAACTGAACTTACAACGATTATTTGGTTTGGGAAAGGGATACAAAAGCACATTTCCAAAAGAAATTAACAGAGTGATTAATGGCTAAATACTACTCTCAGCAATTCCCTAGGAAGGTTAAACTGGAGATATATTTTCAGTTTACAATAATGATTCACAAGACATATTCCCCTCCATATATTGTCCAAGAAGACTCTCAAAAAACTTAAATGCAAATTAACAAACTAAATAATAACAACAACTACTACTATAACAACAACTTTATTTATATTCTGTCCTATCTCCCCTGGGGGACTCAGACTGGATTCCAACAAGCAAAAAAGCAAACATTCAATGCCTCAATAACAATAAATACAAATATAAAAACCCAAAATAATCCCACATAAAGAGCAATTTAAGCATAACAACTATAATTTAAATAAAATATACTAAATTGAAAAGTATAACTAACATAAAACTTGAACATAAAACATCTGAATTAATGTAACAAAACAACACAAATAAACATGCAGTTGAAAAGCAACAAAACAATTCAATAAGAACCACCTTAATTTTAGTGGTATTCATGAAACTGCAAACTGTTACACCTACTGTTTTCTTATTTCTGCAGTGGCTTAATGAAGACTTTAAAATCATCAGGGTATGATGAAACAGAAAATGCACAGGATATTAATCTTTATTCTCTTCTGGGATGGAACCTAACCTTAGCTGCCATCTTCTTGATGCTTGTACTAAAATATGTAATTTGGTATTTTAAAATTCGGAGGAAAATAATATTGGGACACCCACTAGGGCACCACTGCACGAAATTCACCAGCAAGTCCCTCATTTAGGGACTTAAGCCATGAAGGCAACACAGACCTGATTTCTAGAGGAGAATTGCATGCCTCAGGGAAGCAAGATTCTCTTTTCTAAAAAGGCATATATCTCATGAGTATCTTGTTTTAATATGAAAATACAATTTAGACAGAAAGGAAGCTGGATTCTTTCACTTCTAATTGCTAATGTGCCATTAAATTGTGGTAGCACAAAGTAAAAAAAGACGGGGGTGAACTTAAGTGCCAAAGTTAGTGCCAAACTGGCATCAAACTGCACATTCCAAAATTGTTTCCCTCTGCACTTGAGAAAAAAAAAAGAATACTTCCATCCTCATTGGATATGCTAAGAATGTATCATACATGAGTTTGGTTTCTGCCTTACCTTAGCCAGTTTGCAGTTTTGATCTTCCAAAACAATCAGGTCTTCCTCCAGCTTCTTCAGCTTTGCTTCAGTGGTCACTTTCTCCAGTTGTAGCTTTTGCCTGGCACTTTCCTCTTCCTCCAGCTGTTCTTCAAGCTCCTGCATAAATAACATGAGAAAGCATGTCATTCAGTGGCTTGAACAGTCTATGATCAGCCTAACTCCTACCAGCACCATAAGGCTTTCAGCACAAACAACAAGCAACACCAAGAATTTGGAGGAGCAAACCTGCATGTGTCCAGGGTTTTTTCCACAGGCCATCTTCGTTGAGCAACCAAACTTACCTGCTACTTAGGCACTTTTTACATTCAAACCCATCCCATATTATAGCAATAGCCTCAATCCTGCCATTACCTGAATGTTCTGATGCATTTTCTTTTTCTCAGCTTGCAGATGCTGGCACCGTTCTTCCTCTTCCTCCACCCTGGCCTCCAAGTCATGGCATATCTCTTCTAGCTCTTGTTTTTTCGCTGTCAAGCGGGCTCTGATCTCCTCTGCCTCAGCACACAGCTCTATCTCTGCTTGCAACTGTTCCTGCAACTGCATCTTCTCTGCCAGGAGCTGTATAACATACACATATTTCAAGTCAATTTGAGGCTTTAATATACTGCTAAATGCATCAGACACTGAAAATGTTAGATTACATTCACATAATGGTTGCCCTTAGCAAAAACAGACCAACCATGTTCGTAAACAGAAGGCCCTACGATCCCTTCTGTACTTGTTACAAAGTTTGGAATATGATCTTAACTTAGGATGTAGGCTGCATTCCTACTCACAACTGCCTGGAAACTCCAGTTAATTGAGATGTGTACCTGAAGAATCAAGTGCACGACTGTGCTTAAAAGCATTACCCACTCTCTCTCACAGACACATACAGGACAAAGAAAGCCCATTTGATGGTCAGACAAACTTGCAAAGGAGGAATGCACAACCTGGGTTCACGTGCAGCACTCTGCAGCTCCTTAAGACCACAGAATCTCATTAGATCATTTAAGATCACTGTGAAAGGGAGTTGCTCAGGTGGGTAGGACAGGCATATGAGAAGTGGGAGATTCTTCATACACATGCATTTGTATAAGTAGGTGCCTGACTGTGGACATATGAAGCCCTCAACAGGCAATCAATACAAGAATCCTAGCCAATAGTATTGAGTCCAAAACAGCTATGTACTCTTACTGTAAGGTATTTAGCTAAGGAAGACTGAAGGAGAAATCATGTCTCAAATTGCATGTTTTACTGGATGACTTAATACATACATGGATACTGTTCAAAATCAGTTAAAAACTGCAAAACGTTTCAAGAGCAAAGGAGATGACCAGCCAATACTTGAGAGAACAACCCAAGTTCACCTGTGTCTGAAGAGATTCCATTTCTGACACTCTGTTTTCTGCAAACAACTGTCTTTCCTTCACTTTCACCAGTTCTTCTTCCTTGGCCAGCATCTCCTCCTCTTGCCGGCTCACTTGTAGCAAAGGCTTCACCTGCAATAAAAGTCAATTTGGACAATAGTTTATTTCATGCCTCCCTGTCTGTATGCTAAGAGAAACATTTGATTTGGAAGCACAGAGCTTCCAAGTTCTAAGCCCATCTAAAGCACAGGTAGCTTCCATCTTAGAGCCAATAAAGTCTTTCTGAAACATGATACATGAAATTGCTAAAGAGATTATGCATCTTTTAGTCATCCTAAAATGGGCAATATTTCAGATCCAATATTCATAAGTCTATAAGATCTTTAGGCAAAGGTAAAGGTTTCCCCTGACATTAAGTCTAGTCATGTCCAATTCTATGGGATGGTGCTCATCTCCACTTCTAAGGCAATGAACCAGCATTGTCCATAGACACCTCCAATGACATGAGTGAGGCCAGCATGACTGCATGGAGCACCGTTACCTTCCTGCAGAAGCGGTACCTACAGATCTACTCACATTTACATGTTTTCAAACTGTTAGGCTGGCAGAAGCAGGAGCTAACAGCGGGAGCTCACCCCACTCACTTTCGGTCAGCAAGTTCAGCAGCTCATTGGTTTAACCTGCTGTATCACCTCTCTTAAACATCAACACTAAAATGTCACTTTATGGTTTCCCCAATTACTACCTTTGTAAATAGTCTCCACCATTGCCAGTTGCGAAGCTTCAAGTAGGCTGCACAATTCCTCTGGAGCACTTTCATTGCCGTTAGTTGCTGTTGGCGTTTGGCAAAAGCCCTATGATGAGAAAAGTGAGATAGTGAGAATGTGAGAAAACGTCTGGGAAAACCCTTATAAACCTTAACACTTCTCAAGATTAATAATCATAGCAAAATCCTAATTTTGTTTTCTCCTACTGTATCATTCTTTTCCCTCCCAAAGTCCTAGCCTCCATTCTTTCCACTGTGTCATTGATCACTTTATAGACTGGATTGAACAACTCTGGGTGTTTAAGGCTTCATCAAGCCTTAAACACTCAGAAAAATACTCACTGCTCTCCCCCGCCACTCAGGTCTCCTATGGGGCATGAAGAGAATTCTCATCCTGTTCCACTTTCCCCAGTCCATTAAAGGTGCTGGAGACACTTTTTTAACAACAGGAAAAGCGTGGATGTAATTTCCTGTTCACCTCCTGATATAACAAGAGGCCTGTTCTGGGTTAATATGTTTAAGGGAGGCCCAAAAACATGGCAAAGATACACCTCACCATTTGAGGGACATATAGATTTTCTACCCTGGCATTCCTGGTGGCTGCACACAGCCTGCAGGCCACAATTAGCCCACTTGTGAGATGCAGGGTTTCCAGAGTGAAAATTGATAAGGACTCCTGTACAGAAAAGCCAATTTCATAGGGTGCTGGTTGTTCCTTGTTTTCATGAGAAGCATCAACCATTGAAATTCCTTTTTATATATACTACCTTTACAGGTACAGAAGCATTCTCATCTTCCCTTTGTCAGCTCTCGTTATATATGAAGAGTACCTCACTATCAGTTTTGGAAGACCCCCCTCACCATTTGCTCCTCATCCCCTATCTCATCCTGGTTCTCTTCTGTTGACTTCATGCCTCCTGCGTGTCACAAATAGAATAATAGAGTTGGAAGAGACCTTGTGGGCCATCCAGTCCAACCCCCTGCCAAGAAGCACAAAAATCGCATTCAGAGCACCCCTGACTGATGGCCATCCAGCCTCTGCTTAAAAGCCTTCAAAGGAGGAGCCTCCACCACACACTGGGGCAGAGAGTTTCACTGCTGAACAGCTCTCACAGTTAGGAAGTTCTTCTTACTGTTCAGGTGGAATCTCCCTTCCTATAGCTTGAAGCCATTGCTCCGCGTCCTAGTCTCCAGGGAAGCAGAAGATAAACTTGGTCCCTCCTCCCTACGACTTCCCCTCACATATACATGGCCCTCATCATGTCTCCTCTCAGCCTTCTCTTCTGCAGGCTAAACATGCCCAGCTCTTTAAGCCTCTCCTCATAGGGCTTGTTCACCAGAACGTTTATCATTTTAGTCACCCTCCTCTGGACACATTCCAGCTTGTCAACATCTCCCTTCAATTGTGGGGCCCAGAATTGGACACAGCGTTCCAGATATGGTCTGACCAAGGCAGAATAGAGGGGTAACATGATTTCCCTGAATCTAGACACTATACTCCTATTTATGCAGGCCAAAATCCCATTGGCTTTTTTTTTTGCTGCCGCATCACATTGTTGGCTCATGTTTAACTAGTTGTCCATGAGGATTCCAAGATCTTTTCTCATGTACTTCTGTCAAGCCAGGCATCCCCCATTCTGTATCTTTGCACTACATTTTTTTTTCTACCTAAGTGGAGTATCTTGCATTTGTCCCTCCTGCTGAACTTCATTTTGTTATTTTAGACCCAAGATCGTTTTGAATTCTGCTCCTGTATTCTGGAGTATTAGCTATCCCTCCCAATTTGGTGTCATTTGCAAACTTGATGACCACGCAAACTTCACAATACAAGCTTGATGCTTTATTCCTTGAATCTGAACTGTGGCAAGACATCCAAGGGACTACAAAACTGGAATTGTGTGTTGGCATTTTACTTTGATTTAAAGCAGCAGCCATACAGGAAGACAAGGGAACTTTAGAAAATTCAGCATCCTACACTTAGTGTTTCCATTCAGTATTTACCTTGTGTTTCATTAATTTAGCTTTTCTGCAATGTAAAAAAAATAGAGAAAGAGCCAACTGCTGTTTTAAAATTTCAGAATGCCAGCTGGCCAAGGATGTGAATAAGTAAAGATTAGCAATTACTTTGTACTTACTTTCTAGCCAAGTAGCCTCTACAACACGCCTGGAACCCAATAATAACATCTGTGATTTTCAAATCCCTTTCTTCTTCAAGGTGGGCAAGGACACCTGCTCGGAAAAACACTTTGCTTTGTCCAATCCTGTAAAGATTTGGGTCCAGCTCTAAGGCTTTGATCTAAAAGGGAGAAATCACACTTAATCATTAATACTAAAAATACATCAGGAGAAACATTTATTTACAAGCAAATCCCTCCATGTTTACTTAAATCATGGAAGACAACGGGATTTTATCAGGCACTGAAGTTAGGAACAAACATTCAGGAGTTTTCATTTAACTACTACAGAGATACTTAGAAAGAACATTCCAAGTTCATTTTAAATGATGAGAGTGTAATGCAATCTTCTGTTAACTACAGGTTAATAAAAGAATAAGTCTTGAAACATGGCATTAATTCATGAAAAGGGACCTAAAGGAGGTAGTGGGAAATTCAAGTACCAGGTAATTCCATCAGGAAATGGCACTATGCTTAGCTTAATGAAGGGATGTGCATGATTCTTCACTTATTATTTTCTCAAATACTGGAGCAAGAAACTTACCATCAGCACACAGGCTTGCTTTCCATCCATGAACCCTTTTGGAATGGCATTTGGAGTCAGGATCTCATATCTAGAATGAAAGATGTTATAATTCCATTACCAACTCATATCATTTGTGTGCGGTAAGAATCGGAAGAGATTATCCTGCTATAGAAATTTCACGGCGGGGTTACAGTGAAGATCATAGGAAGAGATTATCCTGCGATCTCTTATAAGTTTTACTATTCTGGGAAAATAAAGACTGATTATTCTTAACATCTGGTAGAAGTCAGATGCAATTTAGTGTCACATTGAATGCGGTGCAGTGGTTTGACTTAAGCTCCAGTAGACCAGAGACTGAATCCCCTGGTTAGCCATGGAAACTCATGGGATGCCTAGGGCAAGTCATATTATCTGAGTCTGGAAGGAAGGCAAGAAAACTCCACAATAGGGTCTGCATTAGAAAAAAATGACTTGAAAGCACAAAACAACAAAGTGTTGTAACTACTACTGATAATAAAATTATCCAATGCAGTTTGAGTACACAGGGGTTGGAGTAGGCAACTGTAAACCACTGATGCACTATCTGCCAGCAGAGCCAAGGGATATGTTTAAGATTTGTGGCAATGCCATTGTAGCCTACTAACTAGTCTACCATTCAAGTGGCATAGCCAGGTACCATTTAGGGATTTTAAGACACTCATTAATTTAGAATGGATGACTAACTATCAAGACAGATTTTATTTAGAAACTGGGTGTGGATACCTGCCAACCTAAAAGTATTCCAACACTGTATTCAATATACATCTGAGACCATAGGTCAATTTTACCTTTGTCTGAACTCCTGGAAGACAACTCTGTTGGGAAAACCTTGCCTGCAGATACGGATTCCCTCCAGCACACCGTTACAGCGAAGCTGATCTAGGACGAGGTGTGGGTCCAGTTTTCCAGCCTGCGGAGGAAAGGCAGATTGTTTACAAGGATTCATGGGTGCCCAGCTTAAATTGGTATATGAATTGTACCTTATCCTAGAATAGGCAGACCTACTACCATTATTCAAATTGAAATTTTCAGATTGAATTATGCTAAAACGTGCTATGTTTGATGAAGTTCACTGACAGAAATTAACAAATGAATTAAGAGATCACAGTGATGACAATTTCTGAAGTAACAACTAAACTACAAACTTCTAATACTGAATTACTGGTATTACAGAGCAGCAGTAAATTTCTATGTCAGAAAACTGATACATCACATTAGCTAAAGTTACAGCTAAAATATCCTCTTTTAGAAAACAACAACAACCTTCCATCTTATATTCAGATCAGGGACATATGCAACAATTGCAAAGCCTTTTTCTCAAATTATAAGAAAAAGACTGAATTTAAATTATTATTATAATTATGAAAGACTATGAAGAAAATCTCCAAACTATAAATAATGTTCACTTACATTTTTACCTGCAAAGCAAAGGAAGGAAAACATTTTAAAGGCATCACTCTCTGTGGATAATTAAACTTAGAAATGAAATAACTTCTTTCTTTCTGTCTATTTATTTTTAAATAAATTTAAAAAAAATTAATGCATATTAAATGGACATCCTTTACATGGGCAAGGTATAACTATCTTAGTAAATAAATGTTACAACTTCCTGTTAGAAAAAAAAATCTTTGCAAGCCTCGCTCCTAACAATTGGAATATATTACCCACATTCCTCGACAGAAAATGTTTTTGAATAGAACTTAAAACACAGGAAACCCCAGGATACATGAGATATTTTAAGAACAGCAGATAATTCCAAAGCCAAGTCAACCATGTTTAAAAGCAGGGTAAGAAAGAGCTAGTTGTAGAATATCTGCATATAGCTATTCTCCACCAAACATTCTTCAAAAACACAAGCAAGAATAGCAATCTTTAGAATCACTTCCAAGGTCTGGGCAAACTACATTACTGCTGCTTATACACAACATGTGAATTTTACCTTCTTCTCGTGGTTGGGAATGATGCAACGGACAAAGTTGGGGTTGGTATTCCTCAGGGTAGCCATCAACTTGGCCAGTTGCTCTTTGTACAGTTGTCCTACTGTGCGGAACATGCCCTTCCTGGTCTTGAAGGCCCCAGGCAATGCTGAATCTGACATGCCAGCAACTTGATCCAACCCAACGATGCGGTCAACTGGAGGAAACATTCAAAATGATTACGTTATACTTCTCGGGTGAGAAGAATACATCATTTTATCTGGACACAGCAAGGACAGAAAAGGAATTTGCAGGAATAATTTGCTTCTTTCTCTACAGAAGTAGAAGTCCTATTTATCATTTGTATTAGGACAACAACAAGAAGGGAAGAAAGCAGCCACTCACTACTTAAGCTAGGATCCATCACATGCCCGACAGATCTAGCCGATAGCTGAAACAGCCATTTTAGGCCAAGGATTACCATGGAACTGGCACAACAAGCTTGGTCAAGACAATATATTCTTTCTCTCTCTTTTCCTCATGTCTGCTTTAACATCAATATAATGATGCTTTCTTGCAAAGATACCCACTGAAGAGTAAAGATTTTTTCTTGCCTCCATTAAAGTATAGTGTTATAAGACTGTGGGAGGCAGCCATCAAGTTGAGAGGACATGCTGTAAAGATACTCTTAAGAAAGCTGTCTTTTAAGATCTGTATGCTCAAAACCCAAAGTAAAATAAGAGTGTAGAATCGGAGATTATTTTGAAATTTGTGTTGTGCTCAACGTCTCTAAGCTAAATTAATTAGTGAGTTTCCTATTCCACACTCACTAAAAAGAATGCATCTACAGCAGGCACAGGCAAATTTTGGCCCCCCAGTTGTTTTGGACTCCAACTTCCACAATTCCTAACAGCCTACTGCCTGTTAGGAATTGTGGGAGTTCAAAACACCTGGAGGGCCAAAGTTTTCCTATGCTGATCTACAGCATATCTTTTGAATAATGTCATACAGAATTTATTACATGATGGTTATATGGGATGGGTTATAACATATGAATTTTAGCTGATGTAAATTGTCTGGCAGGACACAGAGGCAGAAGGAAATTGAGCGTTTGTATATTCAGCAGCCCCCACACTTCAATCTTTCAGTTCCAACCTGAAAACATGGATGTTCAGACAGGCCTTTGACCTTGAGTGGGCTGAATGGGCCATATGAAGCTGACACTTGGCACCTTGTGAATTGATGGCAGTTAGTTTTATCTACTGTTGTTTTAAAGTTGTATTATTTTGATTTTATGCTACATGTGTTGATTGGGGTTGTTATAATTTTATGTGACTTGGTTTATACTTTTGTACCATTTTGATCTGTTGTGTGTTGTATGTGCACCCTGGAGTGCCTTGTAAGCCGCCCCAAGTCCCTTCGGGGAGATGGTAGCAGGATATAAATAAAGTTTATTATTATATTATTCATTTGTGCTTAAAAAAACTGAGTTTTTTTTGTTCAGTTCTGTTTCCATGGTAGCCACATGTAAGATTAACAGAACCCACTTCATACAGATTATCACAATGATCAAAAGCTAAAACAAACTTAATCATTATAACTATAGTATCGGACTAAAGCTTTTAAAACAGGATATGTTAAGAATGTGATCAGCCAAATCACTGACATTTGCTAAGTGACGATTAGGCCAACTACTACTGATGGTGATAATAATAATAATAATAATAATAATAATAATAATAATAAATTATTCTCAAAGGAAACCCTTTAACTTGCCAAAAGCAGGAATGCCTTTTATACTGAAAGACAAGATACATTGCTAGAGCAGAGTATTCTTGTGTGTGTGTGTGTATAGCTGAGAATCAAATTGCCTCTTCTTCAAATGTAAATTCTTAATTCATTTAAAGGTAAAATATTAATGAAGGAGTCTGTAACAAAACGAAATCAAACACCTCTGATCAGGAGGCAGACAAAGAAATCTTTTCCCATAACAAAAACTTCAAAATTCATTAGTTGTATCTTTTAAACCAAGGAAAAACAACAATGTTAGCCACCGGAAAACTGCTTTTGGGCAAAATTATCCAGACAACGAATAAATATAAATATGTGAGGGGAAGTCATAGGGAGGAGGGAGCAGGCTTGTTTTCTGCTGCCCTGGAGACTAGGGCGCGGAACAATGGCTTCAAACTACAGGAAAGGAGATGCCACTTGAACATTAGGAAGAGCTTCCTGACTGTGAGAGCTGTTCGGCAGTGGAACTCTCTGACCCGGAGTGTGGTGGAGGCTCCTTCTTTGAAGGCTTTTAAACAGAAGCTGGATACCTGTTAGGGGTGCTTCGAATGCGATTTTCCTGCTTCTTGGCAGGGGGTTGGACTGGATGGCCTATGAAGTCTCTTCCAACTCTATGATTCTATAATTCTATGAACAGCCACAAATGGTAATCCCACAAGCCACTTTCATTGTGTTTATATGTAAAGAAATATTGTAAGATTGACATTTACACAAACTCTTAAGCCAGTACCATCCATCTATGCCCTGCTGCTGTACCAGTGTTCATATCTTGCTTTTTTTAAAAAAAGATTGTGGTTTTTTTCCCCCTGCAAGTCCAAAGGGTTCTACTAGCAAAAAGCAGGCGGACTGGATGAGACAGACAAGCAGGAACAGTAAAAGGGGAATAGAAGAATTAATAGAAGCATTTCTTGCATGGCTCTAGAAGGAATCACATGACACGACACAACAGCCGGGTTCTCAGTCACCTGGTTCTAGATGAAGAATAGGAAAATGTTGATAGAAATAGGCTCTCTGAATGTTCTGCATCTCTGCAACAGAGACGTCAAAGAAAAACCCAAGAAAAGAGACAGTAAAAGTAAGACTCAAAGCAAAGAAAAATAATCCAGAGTGCAAGACACCTAATGGCACTGGAACAAGCAAAGAAAGTCTTTTAGAGGCAAGTTGTGGCCTATTTCATTAAATCCTGTATTTGGATGCAGGAAACTATAGGGAGCATATGTCTGAAAGATATACTAAGATTCTACCCTGCCAGCCTGACCTTTTAAATCAGGTTTGGGCAAACTTGGGCCCTCCAGGTGTTTTGGACTTCAACTCCCACAATGCCTAACAGTCTCAGGCCCCCCCTTCCTTTTCCTCCTCAGCCGCTTAAGCGGCTGAGGAGGAAAAGGAAAGGGCTTGAGGCTGTTAGGCATTGTGGAAGTTGAAGTCCAAAACACCTAGAGGAGCCAAGTTTCCCCATGCCTGTTTTAAATCCTCCTCACTTCAGCAACAAAAGAAGAGCTTTTAAAGTAAAGATTCACATGCACAAGTTCTGGATTGCTGTGTTTTGAGTGCTTGAACGGCTCTTAAAGAAAAACAGATAAGAATTCTGGTTGCCATACCGTCTTTCCACAGTTCGGACACAAATTTATCAGAGGACTGGTGTAGCAGAGTAGCAATGTTATCATTCAGAGGGTCCATGTTCTTCATCAACCATTCATCAGCTTTATAATCAACCTAGAAAATGAATTTGTTATCAGCATTAGATAGAGAGTATTAACTTGGCCTCCATACTGAGGACAGCTGAGAAATTTGTAGTATCTGTTGGTTTTCACGTAACCATTCTGAGACCTTACCCTTCCAGCATAGTGTATAATGCTGAAGTCAGCTTTATCTTTCAGCTGCTTTGGCTTCTGGAATTTAGGGTGAGTGCCTTGCTCTTGCACCACTTTTTCCACAAAGCTTTTATCCGTAGCTTTTGGGAACCAGCACTCTTCATCTAGGAGGGCCAATATGCCTGGGGGACCAGCCTGGAGGAAAGACAGAAATCAGTACTGCTACCAAGATACAAGGTGAGACAGCATAACTTCCTTTTTTAAAATGCACGCCATTCAGTCGTGGAGCGCTAGTGGAGCGCTAGTGGTCTCGTTCGAGAGGCGGGGAGTATAAAGTTTTGTCCTGACACAGTTCAGTCGCCATCAGGCGTTGGAACAGTGAGGAGCGTGCTTTTGCCGTTGAGGCCTACTTTTCGAGCAGATTTGGAGTGGCCGGCCCACTCTCCAGATTTGGCCCCTTGTGATTTTTTTCTATGGGTTTTTTTGAAATCCCATGTTTATGTGAACTGTCCAACAAGATTTGAAGACCAACATCCAGGAAGAAATTGCCAACATAACGCCTGCTATGCTGCCAAGAGTCATGACAAACACCAGAAATCGGTTTACTCAGTGTATAGAGAATGGGGGACGTCACCTTCCTAATTTGATCTCCAAAACTACATAAAACAAAACTTTAAGTATGCGCCTATATTATAAAAATAAAAATTTCTAATTCATAAAATGGGTTTTATTAAGTTTTGAAAAAAGGAGGTTATGCTGCTTCACCTTGTATAAGACTACAGGAAGATGAGCACAAGAGAAAATATCTATTCCTAAAACGTAAGGCATCCTCAGCAATATGGAAGATCAGGAGCTGTCTTTTAGCATCTGCATTTCTTCAACAACACTTCATTAACACTTGAAAGGTTTTATATCAAATATTGCCACTACTCCCTTTATATACCACTTTCTTACAAGTTGAACATAGCTCCCTAGGAAGCATCAAACTGAACGTGCATGTTTTGTTCAGCTGAGTGCTCTAGCTCAATACTCTCTGCTACTCGGAATAGGATACATTACTCACTGGTTTTTCTATGAGATCAATGCAGGGTTGCAGATCCAGACCAAAGTCAATGAAATTCCACTCTATGCCCTCACGCTGGTATTCTTCTTGCTCCAAGATGAACATGGTGTGGTTGAAGAGCTGTTGCAGCTTCTCATTTGTGTAGTTAATGCACAACTGTTCAAATGAGTTCAGCTGTTTCAAAGGGAAAACAAATACATGTGGGTGATTACTGTTCAGATACCTACTGAAGTGCAAATCACATGGGGGAAAGTATCATAATGGAACAGCACACTAAGTAACAACAGGAAATCTAACAAGATGCAGATGTCTATTTGTTTGACTCCCAGTATATTTTACTCACAAGAAAGGTTTGTGACAGTTTGTAAAACTGTGCAAGTTATTAAAAAATTAAATACAAAATTATTTTAAAAAACACAAACTGTCATCTTGTAAAATGGGATTATATGAAGAATAAGATAAACCTAACAGGAAATTTTTAAAATTAAATTTCATCCTCTTTCACTGTCTGTCAATCTCCAAATGAGGACTATGTGTGTCAGAGATGCATTTGTAAAGGTAAAGTTTTCCCCTTGACATTAAGTCTAGTCGTGTTCATCTTCCTTTTTTAAGCTGAAGAGTCGAAATTGTCCGTAGATGCTTCCAAGGTCATGTGGCCAGCATGACTGCATGGAGTGTCATTACCTCCCCACTGAATTGGTACCTATTGATCTACTCACATTTTCATGTTTTCAAACTGCTAGGTTGGCAGAAGCTGGGGCAATCAGAAGGAGCTTACCCCACTCCCTGAATTCGAACCACTAACCTTTCAGCAGCTCAGCAGTTTAACCCGCTGTGCCACCAGATCATTACAGTCCCCTATAGCTTCAAAGCTGGACATCTATACATATGCAAGCAAGAGTCCTAACTAGAGGACAAGAGTCTGGGTGGCCCTTCTGGGATTTTGTACCACTGACTGAGCCCAAAGGATCACAAATCAAGTTGGTCATCAGTTAGCACCCTTCTTATTATAACTTTCTATTATGGATATTCAGCTCGATCACAAGACGTCTTGGCCTTGGTATTGACATTCTCTCTCAACTTGAAGATGGCACAACTCAATCTGCCAAATTACTCCCTAGCCATTTCTTTCCCTAGGCACCAAAAACATCACCCTTCCATCGTAATCCTTAAAAAGGATACATGACTAATATCCGATATAAATTTACTGCCCCATCTATTCGTAATTCAACTTTCAATATGCACAAAATAATTTATATTTCCTTATTACATTTTACTCTATTCTTTCTCTGAAGAGACTTTGAATTTATTGCAGCTGAGCTTTTTAAAAATCTGTTTTGATTCACAATGTATCAACTCTGCCTTCTTCATGCTACATATATTTTATTCTGAAATCAAAGAAGCACTCTGTTTACTTACTTCAAAGATTTCGAAGCCAGCAATATCAAGGATCCCGATGAAAGATGCTCCTTGTCTCTTTGTCTTATCCAGTGCTTTGTTGATGCGCATCACTAGCCACCTGAACATGCGTTCGTAAGTGGCTTTAGCCAGAGCCTCAATGGCAAAGTCAGCCTAAAAAATGGGCTCAAGTCACATGCAATGTCCAAATAAAACACTACAGAAAACATAATCACACTTCATAGATTCCTGGCTGCAGTGCTGAGTCACTGGCAGATTCTCCACCCCATAAAAATTATGGCTCATTTCAAATACATTAAGAAGTTGGTGAAGGTCTAAAACATGTGCCGCTCTGGGCCAGAGTAAAGAGAGAGGAGGGCAGAAGACAGTTCCACCTTGTCTCCTGTGCTATGTTAAGATTATAATATAATATAATGTAATGTAATATAATATATTGTATATACATATAATATTTATAATATTATAATGTAATGCAATATAATATTAATAATATATTATAATTATATATTTATATTACATGTAATATTACTAACAATATTACAATATAATGGTATAATACAATATAGTAATATTATTACTGATATTTTACTATGCTAATAATATAATATATTGTATGTATATACATCTTGTAAGCTGCTCTGAATCCCCTTCGGGGTGAGAAGGGCAGCATATAAATATTGTAAACAAACAAACAAATAAATAAATAAATGTGCTAATATTCTCAACTCCAAAAATTAACAGATACAAAATTAGTAGCAACAGAAACACAATGTTGTTATGGGAAAGACATGATGGTGACATGATTGTAAGCATAGCAGACAGAAAATATTCCTATCAGCTATTGTCCACACTCTGCCCCTATAGAAGTATACAAAGTTAGTTAGTTAAGAACAGTGAATGACTTAGATCTTCAAGATTTAAACACAATTCTGCACATATTTACGTGAAAGTTAAATCCCACAACATTCCACCTGTTTTTTTCCCCTGTCAGAAAACCTTTTTTGTTTTGTCTTCATTTTAAAACTTTACTCAGTTACAATACATACTTGCTCTTTAGTCTGAGCTTTCTGGACATAGTCTCGGCCCACTTTGATGCGAGGGGTGAGAATTCCTCTGGTGAAGTCTGTCACATTGATACCCAGAAGGTGAGAAACTTTCTGAGCAGCTAAAAGAACACAAGAGCAGAAGAAAATATTTAGTACTTTTACTTCTTTCATTTTATTATGAAAGGGTGAATACTTACCTACTTCTGAGAAAGTCATGTATTTGAATGTAACAGATTTCAAAGAGCACATTCAAAGTACAATGAGAGATGGAAATGTTTGGTTTGTTTCAAGATCCAGAGATACACATAAGATGTCCACTGTTTTGTGTATGTCACTTAAAAGAACTTGCAGAATAAAATGAAGGCACATGATACAGTAAGCCTTCTAAAACAAAGTAGGTTTGGATCTGGTTGGGAGACTACTCATCCACCCATCCTGTGTCTACCCTGTTTATGTCTTAGGGTTGTTCTATCATGAAAGCAAGCTGGGATATACATGTAATTAACATAATTTTAAGAGAACTCCACATCTTGGACTGCTAAACTAGACAGCTGAAGAACCTTCTTGATTACAAACCAAGAAACTGTAAAAGGACACAGATATAGTTTGGGCATCCTTTATGCAAAATTCCAAAATCCAAAATATTCCAAGATCCAAACCTGTCTACATGGGTGGCTGACATAGTGAAACTTTTACTTTCTCGTGGTTCGATGTACACAAAATGTGTTTCATATGCAATATTATTAAAATATAGCACATCAATTATTCTCAAGGAATGCATACAAGGTGTATATGAAATGTATAGGAACTTTGAAATCAACAAGCAACTGGACAATTTCAACAGAAAGGAGGAAATCATGAAAATGAACAAAACCTGGTTACCAGTATTAAAAAGCACCAGAATCAGGACAGTAAATAATGAACACCACTCAGAAACAGAGAACTCCAGGCAACAAGCAATCAATGACCAGTTAACACCTCCCAAACAGAGATGTCTCCAAGCAACAAAGGCCAGGCTACCTCTAAGCAGATACCCTCACTGATTGACTTTGCAAACTTCAAATGCTAATTCAAGCTTGCTAATTGCAACATTCACACTTGCTTTAATCAGTGGTTCTCAACCTGTGGGCCCCCAGGTGTTTTGGCCTACAACTCCCAGAAATCCCAGCCAGTTTACCAGCTATTAGGATTTCTGGGAGTTGAAGGCCAAAACATCTGCAGACCAACAGGTTGAGGATGACTGCTTTAAAAAGACAAGGGTTCTTTCTCCCACCCTGGACATTCCACAGGTATACATACACTCCACTTGGTTTACTACCAATAGAACTTCTGCAGATGACAGCTACAGATGCAGGCAAAATGTCAGGAGATAATGCTGCTGGAACATGGTCATATAGCCCGAAAAACTCACAGCAACCCAGTGATTCCAGCCATGAAAGCTTTTGACAATATATACATGAACTTTGTTTTTAGACTTAAGTCTCAACTCTAAGGTATGTACATGAAAATACACGGTATTCCAAAATCTGAAAGAATCCAAACTTCAAAACACTTCTGGTCCCAAGCATTTCAGATAAGGGATACCCAAGCAGCCTGGTTTGTTTTTTTGTTCTCTACAACTAAGTATTAACTGATATCACATATCCACCTGTTTTAAATTTAGCCAACTCTGAATTGAGGGTGGTAATCTCCTCTGCCCTGAAATTTCTGGAATTTGAGCACCAGATGGCCAAACCCATGGTCTCAGTAGCTTCAGCACACAAAAGTCTGTCTTCAAATTGAAATCTCCAAAGTTTAATCTTTGACATTAAATCTTAGGGCTGACATTTACCCCAATGCCACCTAAATGTGTTTCCTCTCTAAACCGAAAGCAAAGTCAAATTCCACAGCAATAAGCCTCAGGCTTTGAACTCTTGTAACAATAGTGTAGTTCCATTCCTAATTGTTCACTTTCCTCCCTTCTTCCTGCTACAGGAAGTGTGGAAGGCACTGATTTCAGACCTATAAGGCAAGGAGGCAAAAAGCTTCAGCCTTAGAGGCTTATAAATCCAACCCATCCCAATGATGGTTCAATGCACGGCAGCACTCTCAATTACATGTCCCTTCTGAAGAGGAGTAAGTCCATCAAGAGATCTTCTTTCAGTCTATTTATTAACCCTCTTGCCTGTGTTTCATCTTCCTCTACATTCTGATGTTTTAACTTTCTTTCTCCTCAATATTTTTCCTCCAGATCTTATCATCTGTGGTCTCCTCCCAACTTCCCTCCTCCTTTTCCTTCCTCTCTATTCTGTGTCACCACCATAGATATTACATGTGGCTAATCACAGGTGGTTGCAATTAGACAGTAGCTGAGCAATTGTTCACATGTACACAATGTTTCTGCCACCAGGAGGCAACACCACTGGCTGCTCACAATCTTAACAGCTGCAACCTGCTGCTAGGAAGCTGTCTACATAAAAAACCAACATGAAGTATGTAAGCATTTATATAATACCACTAGAGTCTATTAGTATGCATTTCCAGTTGGGACTCTGGAAATGTATGTGCACAGCACTTTTACGACTTGAACTATTATTTATTTATTTATTTATTTATTTATTTATTTTATTAATGCGCTTGTATACCGCTAATATCTCAGCCTAAATCGGCGACTCATTGCGGTTTACAACACTTAAAAAACAACAATATTCAGTTTAAAAGCATAAAACACATATACAGTACAAATTATTGGGCCACCAATAACAATCTAATGCATCTCGTAACTGGAATCGCAATCCAAATTCATCGTCCATGATTACCAATCCTTTAGTCATCAAAATTCGTTGCAACGGATTAACCGAATGCTTGTTCAAACATCCATGTCTTCAATCTTTTCCGAAACACCATCAGCGAGGGGGCTGATCTTACCTCTATGGGGAGGGTGTTCCAAAGCCGAGGGGCCACCACAGAAAAGGCCCTGTCTCTCGTTCCCACCAGCCGCACTTGTGAAGCCGGCGGGACAGAGAGCAGGGACTCCCCAGAAGATCTTAGGGTCCTGGTGGGCTGATAGGCTGAGATACGTTCGGATAGATAAGTTGGGCCAGAACCGTTTAGGGCTTTAAAGGCCAACGCCAGCACTTTGAATTGAGCCCGGTAGCATATTGGCAGCCAGTGGAGCTGGTGCAGCAGAGGAGTTGTATGCTCCCTGCGCCCCGCTCCTGTTAGTATCATGGCTGCCGCCCGTTGGACTAGTTGGAGCTTCCGGGCTGTCTTCAAAGGCAACCCCACGTAGAGATGCGTTGCAGTAGTCTAAGCGGGATGTAACCAGAGCGTGGACTACCGTGGCCAAGTCAGACTTCCCAAGGTATGGTCGCAGCTGGCGCACGAGTTTTAACTGTGCGAATGCTCCCCTGGTCACCGCCGAAACCTGGGGTCCAGGCTCAGCGATGAATCCAGAATCACACCCAAGCTGCGAACCTGCGTCTTCAAGGGGAGTGCGACCCCGTCCAACACAGGCTGTAACTCTATGCCCTGTTCGGCCTTGCGACTGACCAGGAGAACCTCTGTCTTGTCTGGATTCAGTTTCAATTTGTTCGCCCTCATCCAGTCCGTCACAGCGGCCAAGCACCGGTTCAGGACCTCGACAGCCTCCTTAGTAGCAGGTGGAAAGGAGTGACAGAGTTGGACATCATCTGCGTACAGATGACATCGCACTCCGAAACTCCGGATGATCTCGCCCAGCGGCTTCATGTAGATGTTAAACAACATGGGAGACAGTATTGAACCCTGAGGAACCCCACAAAACAAAGGTTGTGGAGTTGAACAGGAGTCTCCCAGTAACACCTTCTGAGACCGACCCTCGAGGAATGAGCGGAGCCACTGCAGAACAGTACCTCCAAGACCCATCCCCGCGAGGCGTCCCAGAAGGATACCGTGGTCGACGGTATCGAAGGCCGCTGAGAGGTCGAGCAGCACCAACAGGGACACACTCCCCCTGTCGAGCTCCCGACGCAGATCATCCACTAAGGCGACCAAAGCTGTCTCGGTACCATGCCCCGGCCTAAAGCCAGACTGTGCCGGATCCAGATAATCCGTGTCTACCAAGAATGCCTGGAGTTGTGAGGCCACCACACGTTCCATGACTTTGCCCAAAAAGGGGAGATTGGAAACAGGCCGATAGTTGACGAATTGAGTGGGGTCCAGTGATGGTTTCTTCAACAGCGGTTTTATCACAGCTTGCTTTAAGCTGGCTGGAATTTTGCCTTCCCGAAGGGAGGCATTAACCACCACCTTTACCCACTCGGCCAATTCCCCTCTGGCCTCCTTTAGAAGCCAGGATGGGCAGGGGTCTAGGATGCATGTGGTAGCTCTCATTCCTCCAAGCACCTTGTCCACATCCTCGGATTGAACCAATTGAAATGAATCCATCAAAACCGGACAAGCAGATGCTCGTGTTACATCCTCAGATACTGCCGTTAATATGGTATCCAGTCCAGAGCGGATCAAAGCGACTTTGTCTGCGAAGAACTGAGCAAAGGCTTCGCAGCGAGCTGCCGAGTCATCAGGGCACCCATCCTGAGTGGCGGGTTTTAATAGGCCTCTGACAACTCGGAACAGTTCGGCCGGACGGTTCTTTGCAGACGCAATAGTGGCCGAAAAAGTTTTCTTTGCGGCTTTTATCGCCGCGGCATATGCCCTTAAAAAGGACACAAACCGTGTTCGATTTGGCTCGCTCGGATCCGAACGCCACACGCTCTCTAGTTCCCTCTTCTTTCGCTTCAACGCTGCCAGTTCCTTGGTGAACCAAGGAGCTGGTTTAGCTCGGCTACTTGAGAGGGGACGTTCTGGAGCGATCGTGTCTATTGCCCTAGTCATCTCCCCATTCCAGAGAGCGACCAGAGCATCAACAGGATCACCAACCGAGGTGGCGGGGAATTCCCCAAGAGCCGTCAGGAATCCATCCGGATCCATAAGCCTCCTGGGGCGGACCAGTTTAATGGGTCCTCCACCTCTGCGGAGGTTAGGGGGTGCAGTGAGTCTAAAGCTGACCAGGTGGTGGTCGGTCCACGGCAACGGAGAGATGGATAACTCCTCAACACCGCCACCTTCCTCCCATCCCTGGCAGAAAACCAAGTCCAATGTGTGTCCTGCACTGTGGGTGGGGCCAGATACCTGTTGGGACAGCCCCATGGTTGCCATGGTAGACATGAAGTCCTGAGCCGCTCCCGATAGAGCGGCCTCGGCATGGACATTGAAGTCCCCCAGCACAAGCAGCCGTTGGGACTCCAATGCCAGGTCCGAGACCACCCCCGCTAGCTCAGGCAGGGAGACTGTAGTGCAGCGAGGTGGACGGTACACCAACAGAATCCCTAATCTGTCCCGGTCACCCACCCTCAGGTGGACGCATTCAAAATTTGTTGACTGCGGGATGGGGGCCCTGGTCAGAAGAATGGAATCTCTATAGACCACTGCAACTCCGCCCCCCCGCCCTCCGGATCTCGGTTGGTGCTGCACAGAGAAACCTGGTGGGCAAAGCTGGGTTAAATTTACACCTCCCGCTTCGTCCAACCAGGTCTCTGTGATGCACGCCAGATCTGCCCGTTCATCCAGGATTAAATCCTGGATGAAAGTTGTTTTACCGTTGACAGATCTGGCGTTCAACAGCACCACTTTCAATTCGGAGGGACCGCCATCCTGGTTACACCGACTTACCATATCAGGAGACCGATTTGGAATTACTAATGTTGTTCCACGTTCCCTAGGCCGAATTAAAGGTCTCCTTTTCCCGTATCTCCCCCTCCCCACCACGACTTCTATGGGGGCTCCCCGGTTAACGGAACCCTCTCCCTCCTCCATGACGCATTCAGTAGCCAAAATATCTGCCCGTAATTCATTGTTGACTGTATGGTATGTTATAGTTCCAGAATACCATAGTCCTGCCTTCCGTTCATTTCCTACTCCTATTATGTTAAACTCCGGTCTTTCTGGATCTACTCCGTTCCCTCTCTCTACCAAAAACAATTAGCAGCAAGATTAACAGATGCCAGGGAAAGGGTAGTGACATGGATGGTAGCTATTAACACTGTCAAAGGAGTTCTTAAAGTGCAGGAGTTCTTAAAGTGCAGATAGATAATTGTAACAACATACACGATGGTATAGATAATTAAAGTGCAGTAGCTTGGTCAATTGGCTCTAAAGTGCTCGAATGGAATGCATCATGGAGGACTTAAATTCAGTGCGAGATGGTTGAGTCGATTAAAGTGCTAAAGCTCAGTAAAGTTAATGGACCACTGAGGTAGTAAGTTAAGGTGCTGATGGAGTAAAGTGCTAGAGTCACACCGGATATATATCCACTGTACTTAATAACGGTACACCATTAGTTCTTAAATTCTCCGTTAATCATTAAGTATAGTTGTTGTTAATTACTGTGGTTAGGATCCCCCCCGCCTCTCGGAGTTTAGATTGCTGTCCCGAGAGATGTATCAGGTGTCAGAATGGACAGCACAGTCCTTCTAGAGTTAGCGCTAATGGGGTACTCCGCACACACACAATACAAATAGTCAGCACAGTCAAAAAAGATGGTCAATGCAATCAAGGATGGTCAGCACAGTCAAAAGAGGTCAACACAGATGAGGATGGTCAGCACAATCAAAAGAGATGGTCCGCACAGTTAAAGGAGGTCAAGACAGACGGATTAAACGATGGTCAACACAATCTGTCCAGAGTTGGATACCACGAGATGCCAAAAGATGGCAATAATCAGGCCAATGATGGTCAACACAGTCGTCCGGAATTGGTAGTTACCAAACGAAGTGATGGAATCTCGTGTGATGGCGGCAGATTAATCCCGGGAGGGCGAGGGAAGCTGGAGCGCTGGAGGCCGGCACACCAGAGGCCGGCGCGATGGAAGAACTCTAGCGCTAGGCCGGGCGTCAGCAATCGCTGGGTTGGGGCTGGAGCGCTGAGAGGGCGATGGAGAACAGGCGCGGTGGGAACCGGCGCGCCAGAGGCCGGTGCGATGGAAGGCCCAGCCAAGCGCCAGGCCGGGCGGCAGAAGCCGCTGGGCTAGCACTGGGACGCTGGAACGCCGTGAGGGCAACGGAAGACGGCTGGAGGCAGGCGATGGAAGGCCCTCGCCGAACACCAGGCCAGATGGCAGCAGCGGCCGCCGGGCCCAGCAGCCGCCGGGCCGAGCCGTCGCTGGAGCGCCGAGAGGGCGACGAAAAGCGACGGAAAGCAGACAATGGAAAAACCCAGCCAGGCCACATGGCGGCAGCGCGGCAGCACAGGCCGTCAGTCAACTCAGGCAGCACTCCAAGCCGGAAAATGGCGGCACGGCTTCACTACAGTTCGTCCGCGCCCCGCGTCCCGGCTCTCGAGCCCGACAGAAGCGGTAGGCAAGCAGTTTTTTAAATGTCCTCTTCAATGGTAATAGCCCCCCTGGCCCTCCAACAGCAATGGGGCTGGCGGCGGGGGGTATGGAAGCTATGGGAGAGGTAAGGAGGGAGCGTGTGCAAGGGCCCGTAATGGCGGCGGCCCAGTCGCTCTACCTTCCTCCTTCCTTCTCAAAGCCTTCTTCAGTCCTCCCTCGGTAATGCTCCCCCAGTTTGACTCACCACGGCCACCTTCGTGACCGTGGTTTGCTACTGGTAAAGGAGCTAGTTTCAAGGGTTCCAGAAGGAGATTTTGGCTAAATTAGAACGGATTTTATCTTCGTCCCTACCGTAGCCGCGGCTCGCTGCTGTTACCTTGCCGCCATCATACCAACTATTCTGAGAATAAGAAGTATACTTTTAACCCTTCAATACCCAAGGAACATATTTACCTGTATTGTCAGGCATGGAAGCCTGGTCTGTGTTGCGTTCCTTCTTGAACATAATATTTCCAAGCTGAAGAACACCAGAGATTACTTTTAACAGACCTGAAGGAGAAACAAAGACAGAATGTGTTATTCAGAAAGCATCTGCTAGAAACTGATCAGCACAGAGGTTTCATTCCCATTCACCCTTTGGTAACTGCTGTACAAATCAGACCTATAACAAAATATTGCTGTGCAGAGTGGAATACAATTCCTTTATCCACAGGGAATACCTTCCTGAATTTACTAGAGAAACTGTGGATAATAGCAAACCCTACTAAAAAGAGCAACGTCTACTGGAAGTGACTATATAGCATATATGCCAGCTCTCTAGATGGGGTTGCCTTTGAGGATAGTTCAGAAGCTGAAATTAGTGCAGAGACTGGTGGGTAGATTGCTAACTGGTGCACCATATCGTGAGAGGATGACTTCCAGCCTGCAGCAGCTTTACTGGCTGCCAGTTCGTTTCCAGGCAAAATACAAAGTGCTGGTCATTACCTATAAAGATCTCAACAGTTCGGGTCCAGGCTATTAAGTCTAATCTCCCTATATAGACCATCCTGTGCACTGCAGTCAAGGAAGGAGGCCCTCCTCTCAGTCCCACCGCCATCTCAAGCACAGCTGGTGGGAACAAGGAATCACTTCTCTGTAATCACTCCCTGTCTCTGGAACTGCCTCCCCAAAGAAGTAAAAATGGCCCCCACTCTCCTCTCCTTTAAGAGACTTCTAAAAATACACCTATGCACTTTAGCGTATGGAGAGGAGGAGGACTAAGACACTTTAACTACTTGGAATGCTGGCTAGTCTCACTTGTATTATATGGCTGCCACATTACATTTCAAATGAAAACTGGCGCCAGCCCTTATTAATGTAACTCTATTTTAAATTTCTTTAAGATATTTGTTATAATGTTTACTTATATTTTACTTAACTATGTCTTGTTTTATTTTTCATCACAACGCTTAATTCTTTATTGTAAGCTCACTGTTATTACTGTCACTTTATTGTGTATTATTTTGATATGTTTATACTTATCTGAGGCATTGAATGCTTGCCTTTTTGGATGTGTAAACCAGCCTGAGTCCCTCTGGGGAGACAGGACGGTCTAGAAATAAAGGTTTATTATTATTATTGTTATTATTATTATTATTATTATTATTATTTTACTGGAGAAAAAACCTATACTTTGCTAGCACAACTCTATGGTAACTTCCAGAAGAAGCATACCACACAATTTCCTGGAGTGCCTAAAATATTCTTGGAGATTACATATTTTATCAGATGCAGGTAGGTGAAATGGGTAGCAGTCCCACAGGTAAGGGCTCATACTGTATATCATAATATTTTGTGTCAGGTGATATGACATTACACTGCATTAAATAATTTTATATAGTGTCAGAGCTATTGTATAACCAACTATGTCCATCAGTATCTTTAACTCAGACTTGGGCACTGCCAAGAAAACACTGGTGACTGGGCAGTCTAAAAGTGCTTTCAAAAAATCAATCAATCCATGGCAAGATTGAGAGGAAAAATATCAGGAAGCTGCAGTTGTATATTCCACCACATGGGGCACTAGTCATCAGGACCTGGAAGTGTGTGTAATACAACGCTTACTCAAAAGTACAACCCACGTTATATATTTGCTGTATTGAGTGGCTTATCTGTTCAGCCAACAGAGTTTAAGAAATCATGATAAAAGGTGTTTAGAACCTTCAGTCAGAAGCAGTGCGTTTATAAGCTTCATTAATAGAGTACATTATGCACACAGCAGATAAAATTAGGTAGAAGATGGAGTACTTCCCTCTTCTCAACTGAGCAACTGAAAACCTGCAGGTGTTCACGCACAGCACTCCCTGACAAGGTCAAGTTTAGAGATAAGAAAAACCCTGTTGCTACAAATTTGTATCAAGACAGCCAAATGCAATTTGTGCCACAAAGCAACCTGAAGTACATTTGGCAAATTATCTGCTCATCAACCTCTCACCTAATAAAAATAAAACAGTTGGCCCTCCTTATCTGCAGCCGATTGGTTCCAGGACTCCCTGGAGATACAAACAACTAACGAGCTGCAAAGCTGGAGAAAGATTGCAAATTTGTGAAATGGATTTGGGCTGATCACAATGCTTATATTCCCATCATTTCACAGATACAGTGTTTTTTAAAACTTTTATGGTTTTCTACGAAGTTGAATAGAGAGTTATTTGAATACTATCTGTTGCAGTGTGCTTTGTTTCTTTTCCATTAAGCTTTCAGCATTCCTCATATGTTTTGGTGTTCATTTGTTTCACTGGGAGAAGATACATCAGGCACCATTTTGTGAAAGAGTGGTATACAAATAATGAAGCCCATGATGATGTTTCTGAACAGTCTTTGCCACAATCCTCTCGCATCCTTTAAACCCCTTTTGTATTAGTTCCATACCCATCTGTTCATCATCTGGGATGCTCATGATCCGCATTGCCTCCATAGTCTCCTGAAACATGTCCTTGTCTTGCTGACCAGGGATTGTAACATGTCCATTGGAAAGGAAGCGATACTTGTTGTAGGGCTCCAACAGCAAGTCATCTACAAAAATATGAAAGATTAAAAACATCTTGGTTGGCATAGTAAAAGATAAAGGTTTCCCCCTTGACAAAAAGTCTAGTCGCGTCCAACTCTGGAGAGTGATGATCATCTCCATTTATAAGCCGAAGAGCTGGTGTTGTCCATAGACACCTCCAAGATCATGTAGCCGGCATGACTGCATGGAGCACTGTTACCTTCCAGCAAATGCGGTACCTATTGATCTATCCACATTTGCATGTTTTCAAACTGCTAGGTCGGCAGAAGCTGGGGCTAACAGCAGGAGCTCACTCCGCTCCCCGGATTTGAACCGCCAACCTTTCAGTCAGCAAGTTCAGTAACTCAGCGGTTTAACCCACTGTGCCACTGGGGGCTCCTCTTGGTTGGCACAGTTGAAACAAATCAAAGGACTAAAATGTACAGATTTCATGTCAAATTTGACAGTTCAAACTTATTACTCAGAATTTGGATCACCCACAGGAAACCCTAGGTGACATTCCTATAGCATAAACAAAACTTAGTATTCCTACACTGTAGATTTCAAAAGCTAAAAAATTCCTATAGGAAATGAGATTCTACCTTAACTAGGAGTTTTTCTTCAGTCCTTATATTGCAATCTGAATAATGATCCAAGCTACAGTGATTTATCAATATTGAGGAATTATACCTGCTCAATTTAAATAGATGGCTGGGTTAACTATTCAGAATTATCTTCCTCCAATATTTGGTCGAAGAAGGAAAAGGGCTATAGAATTGGTTTATTTTACAGAAAAGCTTGCCCTCCAGAAGTAGCCAGACATCCTTTCTTGCCTCTGTAAATCTTAATTGGAGGGCAATAATAATAATAATAATAATAATAATAATAATAATAATAATAATACTTTTATTTATACCCCACCACCATCTCCCCAGAGGGGACTTGGGGTGGCTAACATGAGGCCAAGCACAACAATTACAACAAATCAAGATAAATAATAACATCAAATAAAAATAAATGGCAAATTAATGCAAAATCAAGCATAGGAAATGAAAATAAATAGTAAAGTGAACATGGTGGGCTGGGTCAGTTACAAGGGATAAAGTTCATATTTTGAAAGTGTTTGTTTTGTAATTAATTCATGTCTGGGGATTCTAAGGTTCCTGACCTGATGCCTAACATTCCCTAACTTGAAATGGGACATTTACACAGTGAAATGGTCTCACATTTTGAAACAACAAAGTTACACTTCCTAAAAACTCTAAATTGCCTAAGGAAATGACAATCAAAGGGTGAAAAAGAAAGATCAACCAGAGATGCTCATGTCAAGCATTTGTAAAGAAATGTACCAGGCTCAGTATGCATACATCAAATAGTGAGAGAGTGCCTGTCATAGTAGCAGAAGGTACTCACTCTTCAAATGCTCCCCTGCACCAGTCAGCAGGTAGTAGAAGATGTGGAATGTCCGTTCTTCTTTGGCTTGACGTATTGCTCGTGATTTCTCCAACAGATCTTTATGTAAGTTAAGGGAGAGAATCAAGACTGCCAAAAACCTAAAATTCTACACCTGAATGATCTCAAAAAGCTTAGTCCCCCTTTTTTTTACAACACAAGTGGGTCCTTTTTTCCAAGAAGCCCCAATACCTCTAGCTTCATGCCGGGTGCCAGCTCATACAATCTTGCCTTGTATCACCAAACTACTATAAAGTGAGGAGGAGAAGATCAAATATTTTTCTTGACTAAAATATAACTCTATTAATTCTACTTCAGAAGTAAGTTCAGAACTTCACCCTGAGTAAAGTAATCTCGCTAAGTATCCATAATTTGGGAAATAAGGGACACCGTTTGTTTGACTTCCAAAAAACCTATTTCAAACTCAAAGCAGCAAGCTCAAAGAGAAAGTCAGGCATTACTCTGCCTCAATTTGGCATTCTGCCATAGTATGGCTCTTAGGAATCCCACACACAGAGCTCTTAAGTTAAACACGATATTCATAAACATACATTGATACTAAAATGGATCACAAGTACTCCTCTCATTGTCTGAACTCTGAAAGAACTCAAATATCTATACACACAATAAAAGTGAAAACTGTATGTTTATGTGGAGGAGGTGTCCACTTACACAGACAACCTCTGGCCTCCACAAACAGGCTATAGTTCCAAGCCTCCAAACTGACGCTGCCAATGTCCTCCCCAAATACTATGGTCCACCACCCAAGGAATGCTTTCATTCGAGGAGAATTTCATCCTAGATTTGACATGTTTCCCCCACCCCAGGCAGGCATCCCAGGGTTCCTTGTGTGGAATTTGCATGACCCCGCCAACTGCCTCTCCCTTAACCCTTTCCCATGGCACACAGCAAGCAGAGAGGAATTGATCAGCAACTGAACAGACTGGAGGAGTTTGGGAGGCTGGCTCAACAGGTATCCAGAGAACACTGAATCCAGCAATGGATTTGGATCAAACTTTGCACACAGAAACAACATGGCCAACTGTGAAAACTGGCTGGTTTGTGGGTGATTGCCCTGGGAATCTGGGAGTTGTAGTTCACACTTATCCAGAGAGCACTGAACCCAGCTGATATCGGATCTGGATCAAACTTGGCACACAGACCCAATATGGCCAACTTTGGCAGGGTTTGGGAAGAACTGCCCCACGATTTGGGAAATTGTAGTTCACCCACATCTAATAGGAGCATTCATAAAAACAAACGGAAAGACTGGCTTTTTTTCTAATAAAATACATTACCAAACTGATATTACCAAACTTCAAAAAAAAAAAACAACAATGCCTTTCTCAAATAACCCAGACACCACTGGGTCCCTAAGCTAGTAATGTAATAAAATTACCAAATAGGTTAGAGTCCTACAAAAATATCCTTCAACTTGGGATTGCCGAGCTATTTTACTAAAAAGATTGTCACTTCACGGAGGCAGTGTGCTTCTTCAGGTCTTAAAATGATTTTTCTAAGATTATTAGCGGCTTTTCCCCCTTTCCTCTTGAAGTTAACTTGATTTCCCTAACCACAAGAAAGGATACAGGTCTCAATATTGGCTCCAACAATGTAGCCATTCACGTCAAAATTGATTCTGATAAATTTTCCCTGAAAGAACAAAGAAGTGTTAGCCAAGTGCACACATGAACAATACAATATGCATATCTTCATACACATCTGTCCTTCCAAGTTCCTGCAAAACCCATGTTCATTCCTGGCTTCTGAAGAATAAAGGAAGTGGATATCAAGATGGCTTTTACAAGCAGTAACTGGCTATTATAATAAATTGATTTCACAGTACCAGCGAATAATACATTAGAGCACTGTAAATTATTTTGATGGCCTTGTTAGCTAACGGATGCCAACTAACATAGGAAAAACAGAGCTGTTTCAAACAGGTAGTTTAATTTTTAAAACATCCTAAAAGTATACTGCATGCAGTCAATAGCTAAGTTCTAACTATACCAGAAACCATCAAGGTTTACACTGATATGTGCATTGTTGTGACTTAACGTATATTTAAACCAACGTAAAGAGTTAAACATGCCAACATGTCAAAGCCACGTGAAAAGAACATCATATAAGATCAAGCAACCAAGATGGTTGTTCAATCCTTTTTTTCTCTCAAAAAGGGAAAGTACCTATCAATTATAAAGGCAACCAATACTCACAAATCTTGAAGAATTGTCATTCTTAACCGTTTTGGCATTCCCAAAGGCCTCCAATATAGGGTTGGCCTGAAGCAGCTGCCTCTCAAGTTCCCCCTAGAATTAAAAACATGAATGATAAGAACCCTTTCACTTAGAATGTATCAAGTAGTTATTTTGGCAGAGCTTTGTTTCAAATTCTTATTTCCACCAATATACTGGATGTATCATCTGAGGGGAAACACTTTAAGAAAAGCATTAATTACTATGCTGAGGCAAACGTAACATTATTATGAAGCATTCCTTCAGTCAACTCAAAGACAGAAACAAATGCGTATTTGCTGTATTTGGATAATATATGAGTGGAATTTTGGACAGATACTACCTTTTGCTAAATTAATAAGTTAAGAATCTATTCTATATGCTTTTTCTTTTGTGACCACTTCTTAAGATCAGAATTCTGCAGAAAGAGACAGTCATCTCAGTTGCGCCGCTGGTATAAAACAGGTACAGAGGAGGCTTTGTAGTTGCATTTATTAAACTGAGTATCGAGAAAGAAATTTTGCTCAAGTTCTAACTGTACTATTTAATATAGACTTTATGCAATAAAATTCATGTACATTAGCTCTAATATTTAGAGTGGGGTGTGGTAAGTCGGGGCATCCACCTTCTCCTCTCTCTAGCATGTCTCTTTGCCTCCCATGGGCCCAAAACATTCTTCAAGAAATGGGAAACATACTGTAAATGGGAAGCCTCCCCAGTGGCAGCCATTCTATGGCAGTACTTGTAATATCCTCCAAATTTTAAATGTGTCCACAAGCAAAAAAGTTGACAAATTCTGCTTTATAACAACCTTGTTAGGGGAAGCATCTACTGACACCAAACAACAGCTAGTGGGATAAGTGATTGGTGGCTTGTCAAAAGCCAACTTACTGAACCAACAACCTAGATCTCTATCTTATTCTGTATACTGTATTACACCAGTTCCCAAGAAAGAACTTCCCAATATCCCCAGTCACAAGCAGAATTACAAAATGGTTATCCCTTCTCCTTATGGCCCAAGGTACGCCATAAGGAGAATAAAGGAATGTGTTTTCATGTTCACAGTACATGGCGACATCAAGGGATACAGAGTCACACTTGGAAAACAGGAAGATCTTGGCAATGGATAGATGGCAAGGAGAGATGTTCTGATCTTGCTGGTATGCCACTCCCAACAAAAACTGGAGGCAGGGGAGATCACAAGACCCCCCTGCCTTGGTATGCATGATATAGGGCATAACCCACATTATTATAGATCCCTCCTTTGCATCTACCAACAAATGCAAAAAATTTCACAAGAGTCCTTCATTCTGATTCAACCTAACTTTCAATTCATTCAAGAAATGCTTCTGTTGATTTGAGTAAATCTCTTTGTCAGGGGTCAGAATCAAATGATCTTGCTCAACCTTCCAAGCAAACCTCCTCTGTTTATGGTAGGTCACTAAACAAATACTTCAAACAGGAGTAGTAAGACGTGGTATCGCTGGAGTTTTTTGGGTGTGTGTGTGTGTGTGTGTGTGTGAGAGAGACGAGTAACTTGAGAAACTACAAGTCGTTTCTGGTGTGAGAAAATTGGCCTTCTGAAAGGACATTGCCCAGGGGACACCCAGATGTTTTACCATCCTGTGGGAGGCTTCTCTCATATCCCCACACAAAAAGCTGGATCTGACAGACGGGAGCTCACCCCACTCCCCAGATTTGAACTGCCGACCTTTTGGTCAGCAGTCCTGCTGGCACAAGGGTTTTAACCCATAGTGCTACTGGAGTAATGCTGCTACTACTGTGTTCCTTGTTTGTTTATTTCATACCAAAAGAATTGCATAAATTAGTATAAAACTGGTAAAAATGTTAAATAGCCTCTGGCTGGCTGTCTATATGTGTTGTGTGTCTATGGCATTGAATGTTTGCCATGTATGTGTACATTGTAATCCGCCCTGAGTCCCCTGTGGGGTGAGAAGGGCAAAATATAAATACTGTAAATAAATAAATAAATAAAAATAGAAGGAACACAAGCAGCCAAGAATCTTTTGGACAAAAACGGGCAACAGCAACCACATTGTCTGTAGCCTGAACAATTCTTCCCCTGTACATGAGGCAGGACATTGTAGACAAGCATACAGATGTGGTGTTCCTTGTGCAAAACAAGGACTCCTCCCTGACTGCTCAGTTGGACTTTTAAGCCTGAAAGAGAGGACTGAACTCTAATGATCTGAAGCTGGCCAAAGAGTGACAGAGTCGCAGTAACACTGATTTGTGGTGTCACAGAGGACAGCTGAGCCATGGGAACGGATACAGAGAGGACAGCTGCTCTCCATCAAGGCCCACTCCATCAGTTGTGCCAAAGGAAGCAACGTCTCAGATGTGCTCTACAAAGTTTGTTTTGTCAGCAAGGCTGAACTCCTTCTGGAGTCACACATGTTTTGTGTGTGCAAGAAAAAGCCTGGGCTCCCCTTCCCGCAATTCTCCCATTTGACCCTGCAGTGGAGTCCTAATTCTTTGTTTGTGACTGCAATCTGTTGCTATAGGAATGGGTGATGTCAGAAAACGAAACGTTATAACTTCAATACAGGGTCAAGATCTGAAGAAAAGCAACGTTGGTGGGGAACAACCGCCCCTGAAATTTTTCAATGCCAGAGTCCAATGTTTGGCTAGAACCCCAGCTATGAAGAACACTGGTTGCCTTGAGTATCCTGTGTAGTCAACATCAATTCATTGTACCTTTCCCACTTTAAGGACAAGAGGATTGGCAAAAGATATGACCCAGCTGAGGCCAAGCAGCCAAGTGTGGAGGAAAGCAGCAGGGAGGGGACTGCTTTTAAGACCCAAAGTAGCACAAGGCTGTTCTAGCTTTCTCGAGGAAGCCAGGCAAGGTTATGACAAATTTCAAGAAGAAATTGGCTGACTCCCCATTGATAGCCACCTTACGCCTTTGGATGCTGCAGAGCCAAGTAGGACCTCCAAGAAACAGTTAAAGGACATTCTTGTTTCCTAGTGAGAGCACTTCTGTTCAGCAATCCAGACAGACACAGCCTCTACATAAAAAAATCACTTCCCTTCACTTTCTGCTTTTTCAAATATAATTCAGTTTTGTATCTAATGAGTATTCTTAGATCTCCTTTTGCTTTTTTTTCCAGGGGATCTGGGTTCCTTTTAAATTTCTGCAAATTTCAAGATTTATTACAGGTTGAGTATCCTTTATCTCAAATGCTTGGAAACAGAATTGTTTTTGGTCCTTTTTGGATTTTGGAATACCTGCATATACAGACATAATGAGATCTTGGAGATGGAATCGAAATCAAAGCAAGAGATTCCTTTATGTTTTTATACACCACCTACACACAGCCTAATTTTATACAGCTTTCCCCCCCAGAGGAACAATATAAACACTTGATTCACCAATCTAACCTTACAATCACAGATATATTTCATTAGGCTGCAATGTTGGGGTGTGCAGCCTTCTTGATCTCTTAGGATTTCAAAAGTTCAATTTTCCCACACAGCAACTTCCTTCGGGAAAGTGTCCAGGAACAGTATCACTCTTGGGAGTCTTCAGATACTTGACATCTGAGCCAAAAAGGCTTTGGTATGTTTCACTAGCTATTTATGACTCAAGCAAGCTGAATGGAAACTCAGAAGATGTACAGGATGCCCAGAGACAATTTTCAAGCTGTCACACCATTGAACCAGCCCCATAATCTATGAAATAGCAGATAAATGCCAACAAGCGGGCCATTGAACTTTAAAAACGTGAAATGTTGTGGGCAATGCTACTTAAATGTAATTACCGTATATACTCAAGTATAAGCCGACCTGAATATAAGCCGAGGTACCTAATTTTACCACAAAAACCTGGGAAAACTTATTGACGAGTATAAGACAAGGGCAGGAAATGCAGCAGCTACTAGTAAGTTTCAGAAATAAAAATAGATACCAAGAAAATTACATTAGTTGAGGCATCAGTAGGTTAAATGTTTTTTAGTATTTAATGTTTTGAATATTAAAACTGTAATTTAAGATAAGACTGTTCAACTTTGAGTACATATATACTCGAGTATAAGCCGATCTGAATATAAGCCAACTGAATATATGCCCATCAGGACCCTCACTCAAGTATAAGGGGGGAGGGGCTTTTTCAGCCCTAAAAAGGGCTGAAAAACTCAGCTTATACTTAGGTATATATGGCACAACTGACATTAAAATAGTTAAAGCTGTGGTGCAAGTTTCATCCAGTTACCTTGTACACAGAACCTGTTGCACAAAGCCTTGGAAGCTGTCAAGGATTTAACACGGATATAGATTCTAAGCATGTATAGAGTGAAAACTAAGCTCAACCAAAACCTTTTCCCAGAAAAAAGTTACCAGTGCGTACTACCCTCATAAAAGATAAGGAAACATTCTGTCAACTTTGGGAAAAGACAACTCTTTGCTGTTCCCAGTGTCTTTCAGATATGACAACAAGATTTTTAGTTAGAAGTCAGAAGCGAAGCTCAGGAGTTGGATACCCATCAACTGTCCTCCCTCTAATATAGTGGTTTGTATCTTTATAACCTGGGCATACAGCACTGGGGGAAAAAAACCCCAAATTCATACAGTCTCCTGGGTCCTAATGCAAAAACATTTTAAAGTATACAGTCCATGGAAAAAGCTGTTGTCTCTCAAAGTTTGGCTTACAGAAAGCTGAATCTTGGTTTGTTTCCAAAAGCCACTCATTAGAATGTGCGCACACGCACACACACCATGCAGAGATATTTTAAGAACTAACCTACGGACACACAGCATGCCAGGATATTTAAGTATCAAAATCCAAAGTTTTATGTAGCAATAGGGATGACGCTTGGCATCTGTGTTTCATTATAATGTTTACAAGATCACTAGCATTCCCCCTTGTGTTTAGCTCTGGCAACAATGCTTCAGGGGCTGGAACATCCAGTCTGTGCAGGGGTCATGTCTTCCTGGCCTTTCCCAGCGTCCTGCACCCACAGTTAGGATGCTGGATACATTGGGAGGCCTGGACAAAGTCAGCCAGTAGCCATGGATACCAGATAGTCTGTCCTATTTCCAAAGGGGACATCCGTGTCCTGTATCACTATGCAAAATGCCTCGTTCAGTGCACATGAGAAAATTCTATAAAACAGACCTAAAGTGATAACGGATAATAAGTTTCGTTTATAAGCAAGTGCATTTTGGGATGAACAATACTCTCCCATCCAAGGATCTGAAAAGAAGGCTGTGTGAAATCAAACTGTGAACTGGCTTAGACAATAGTTCTAGTGGCAAAAAGTGACACTGGTGGGAGTGAAAAGCTGCTACAAGTCACACAATGGGGCAACACACGCATTCCTGGTGCAGACCGTGCAGTAAACGTGCAGCTCACCTATGAATTCCCAACTGATGAGTTCGGACATAATCCATCAAAGGGAGAAGGGGGGAAACAATATGTGAGACAATGTTTCATGGATACCTTCTCAACACAAATAGGCACACATCATTACAGTTTACTATTTGAAACAGTAACACCGAAGGCTTTAGCAACGTAGCTTCCTCATGGCATATGAAAAACTAAAACTTTAACATCAGGTTGAGTATAACTGTAAAAGAGATAGGTGATACCCCACACATAAAAAAAATCACTGATGAAAAGTAGACATATTGATATAATTTAGTATATCGCAATTACTTAGAACTCACTGACAAAATATTAGAAAATCCAGGGTTAAGTTGCAATTCAAACTGGGAACCTGAGCTGAAGTAGAAATCATTCTGCATTTTTCAACTGGAATATGAGAATAAAGTCCCATTGAGCACAGAAACTTACCTGATCTTTCTTGCTCTTGTGTGATGAAGCAACATGAGCCAGATACTGAATGACCTTCTTGGTGTTTTCTGTCTTTCCAGCTCCTGATTCACCCCTGCAAGAAACAAAACCTATTCAGCATATGAATCCTTCTGATCATTCTACAAAAGCCCCACAGAAGCTTTGTAATACATTGCTACAAAGTATCTTGCTAGTTTAAGTATGCTAAATAAAACCAGCAGTCAGTCAACTGTTAGGGTTTCTTAGTTCCCAAATTTCTCAAACCATTTGAGAAATTGGTTTGAGAAATTATGTGAATTGCTCCATACTAAAAGTGCAATTCTCATAATGTCTTCTCCTGGTTGGTTTTTTGTTTGTTTGGTTTTTTGTTTTTTTTTGGGGGGGGGGTTGTTTGCTTGTTTGTTTTGCTACTGCTGTGTGCCTTCAAGCTATTTCTAACTTATAGTGGCCCTAAGAAGAACCTCTCATGGGATTTTCTTGGCAAGATTTATTCAGATGGTGTTTGCCCTCTGAGGCTGAGAGTGTGTGACTTGCCTAGGATCACTCTGGGGAGTTCTATGGTGGTGCAAGGATTTGAATCCTGGTATCCAGAGTCATAGTCCAATACCCAAACCATGACACAACACTGGCTCTCCTGGTTTTTACCTGGCCACAACCTTTTTGAAGCAAGATGAGGCAAACATTTCAAAACTACATACGTACATCTTTCTGGAAGTAGTACTTAAGCCCCAAAAGGTTAAGTTTCGCAATAAAAGCACATCTTCGTTCATTTGTACTTTAGCCATTCTTTTTCTCTAACCACCCAACAGCTATATAAGCTATCGGCAAATTATGCAAATACTTACGTGCAGAGAATGGACTGATCTTCTCGATCTGTAAAAAAAAGAAGCAAACAAAAGAGGATCAGATTCAGGCTGAGGTCAAGTTTTCGCCCTTTCTACTACATTTTTAGTACAGATTCAGGCTCAACCTCTTGAGAAAGCTCATATGGGTTTACACACAGTCTCTCACTATGGATTGAGGCAGGGTACATATGATCAAAATAATGGACACACAAAATAAATCTAATTGACACATTATAAATAACAACATAATTATTGTTTACCCTGTGGATAGAAGTGGGGAAAAGTGATTAAAATGCAACTAATGGACACATAACATCAGTTTTAAAACCAAACACAAATAATTAATTAAAGGAACATTGCTGGGTATTGTATTCCCTCTCTAGGGCAGAGGCAAGACTTGTGCTAAGATATATTCTGAATAGCCCATATTACTTCAAGAGCTTTCTAGCTACACAACAGTCATGCAAAAGTAAAACTAAACCTCTTTCCATGTCTAATATGAACATAAATTCTGCATAATTCTTGCATGGTGTTGCAAAGTTCTTGTCAGAATCTTTTTGAACTAAACGTCATTAATCAAGAGAAGTCATTCCAACCAATGTATGTTGGAAATCACAACCTTCTTTAATCCTCCTCTATTCATTTGTGTTCTTATTGTATGTATAATATGCATCTTTCTATCCTTGCTCTGTTTTTCCTGAGAAGTTGTGGGAGGGGCTGTAGACCATGTGATCCACACTCTGAGATGAGCACAGACTCCATCAGACTTCTTTAGACTTTGGCACTGCTCAGATTGCAGACTTGCAAACACTTGCCTGCTATTTATTCTAAGAAAGATGTTGTGACCAGGTGGCACACAGAAACTATCTCAAACATCTCTGTAACTGACTGATAAGCTGTCTACCTGTGTATGCTGAACACATGAACGTTGTGAGCAAACAAAACATGTTATTTTTACCAAAGTCTACCTTATTTTGTCTCTTGAGTGCATAATATAAAACAAGCTGTTTTATGGGAGAGTAGATATATTTTTGGGAACTGAAAAACACTTCTGAAGAACTGCTATTTTATGCATTGGTACATTCTCTGTTTCCTAACAGTTTATGGAACAACAAGTTATTCACTTTAACAAATGGAGCAAATTGCCTTGCATAATTACATTTGGTTGTATACCACTTGAGAAGTTTCTGCTCAAATGGGGTTTTGGCTCTTTTCTAAAAGGCTATAAATGCCATTTCCTAAAAGGTTATGATTGCTAAAAGGTCATGCTTTTCTTGAAAGGTAGGGCACAACTGTATCTACATAGAGAAATTGAACAGTATTTGGATTTTTCTCACTGCAAAGGGGACAAAAACAGCTGCAGAGCTAAGAATACTAATTTCTAATTCACTCTTTCATTCATATAATGCGTATACACATCCTATGCAAGTGTAGAATTGTTAATGACTTGCTATGTGAGTGAAAGGTATAAATCTTTGGGCCTTGACCCATTCAAAAGACCACAAAAGTTAGACTTTTCACATTATCACTGTATTACACAGACACACGCCGGAAGGCTTCTGCATGACTGGGCATTTAGAGGGAGGATCAGGGGACTAACTAATGAGTCATTTGCACATTGCCCCAGGAGATGTATTCAGCAGTACAGACAACAGGGTGGTTCTGTATCAGGCAGTCAATTCCAGGGAGGTTCCTGTGTCTTTGAATAATTATGACACTTTTTAAATAAAGCTACAGGTGTTTTAAGAATGACTGTTACTTTACACCAAGCTACTCATGCCTCATCAACTATAGGAAAAGCAAAACCATCAAGCATATTTATTCAGAAACATAGCTGTTAGTTGTTTTGGTATTAAGTTTCTCCTTGTTATCATTTCTTACCCACTTTTACCTATGCATCAAGTGATCCGTCAAAAAAAAAAAACTCCAATAACCACTTTTAAAGGCACTAATTTTTTGTGCCTTCAAATTCTTCCTGACTTATGGCAAACTAAAACCAACCAATCATGGGATTTTCTTGGTAAGCTGTGTTCAGTAGGGGTTTGCCTTTCCCTTTCTCTAAAGCTGAGAGTTTGTGACTTGTGAAGTGTCCATGGATATAAACTTTAGTCATCATTATAGTCCATTATTGTTCATAATTATAGTCCAATGTTTAAAAAAAACTACATCATGCTGGCTACATTAGTTAAAAGAGCACACATGTTTTTTTAAAAAAATTAATAATTCTAAAATACGTAATTTAAAAATCATCTGTACAGCCATTCCCAGAGATTAGTCTTGGTGCTGCTTGTAACTCACACTGTATATCTGGCAGCTAAATATCTTCTGGCAGGTCATTCCACAATTTGGGGACAGAAGAAGAAACCGTCCTCTAGATTTCTTCATCTGTCCTAGCTGACTGAAGTAAATGTCCCCTCAGATGACCAGAGTGTACTGGGAGGATTGCACTTTAAAGGTCAAGGTCAACACTGTGTACGTTTTTGCCCAGACTAACTATAAAAAGAACATTTGAAGCTGAGAAAAATACATTTCTAGCATAAGCTTTTATGGACTAGTTCAAGTCATCTGATGCATGAAATGGCGCCTATTTGAACAGATACATACAGAACAATATTTCTGAAAGATTAAAAGTCAGTGTCCATTCTCATCGAAAATTCTCTGGCAGACAACTGAGGAAGGTCTGCAATGTGTCAAACACATACACCCAGAGGACAAACACAGGGTCCTCTGGCCTACAGGAGGGCTCTCCCTTAAAAGGACAAAAGAGATTTTCCTTTCAATGTTCAGGAAAACCATGACACAGAAGCTGACTAATTTGCCTAAAATTCCTGAGGTGGGGAGAGAAAAGTAGTCTATTCATTCTCTACTATCGTCTACCCAATCATATGTGCACACACATTAGAAGGTAGCTCATCAGAAAACCTCTTAAATGCACAAATCCATTCAACAATTCACCCCCACCCACCCACACACACTCACTCACTCACCCACCATCTATTTACCTCAGGTTTCTTAGTCACCTCCTCCTTAAGCACAAAGGAATGTACCTGCAAGTATAGACAAATCACATGGCAGTATGCAGACACTGCCATAAAAGGAAATCGTCCCTTTTGAAATCCAGGGGGGAAAGAATTTTCCCAGCCTTTTAAAGCACTCATCATTAGGATAGCTGGAATTCCTCTGCTTACTGATAACTGAGAAGTGCTGCGTAGAGATGCTGTTTCCTGTTGTTCAACCAACAGAATTGCCTTTTCACTCTTCTCCCCCATCTACATAGTAGGAAGCCAATGGATATAATAGAAAGTCTGTTGTGTGGAGCCTAAACACCCTAAAGGCCCCAGATCCCTTCTTCTAATCTTGGAAGCTAATAAGGATTCGTCCTGATTAGTAGTTGGAATAGTGACTGCCAACGAATATTAGATACTTCAGGCTTATATTTCAGAGGAAGGAAGTGGTACAACCCTATTGACTAAGCTTTGTCTAAGAAAATTATATAAATGCATGGACAGGTGATCTAAAGTCACACTAAAAGGAAATGACAGAGAACTATGTTTCATTACCTAGCCTATCCCTTGTGTTGATCCTGATGCAAAGTTTCCTATTCAGATGACAACATCTGAAGAGCTAACATCTAAGAATACAACAAATCAATAGACCAACAGATTATTCCCTCATTATTCCCACTGAAGTAGCACTAGCAACAAGGAAATGCTTGAAGAGTATGATTTCAATAATTGAAATTTTGTTTGGTTAAGGGACTCAGGTGAAAAATCTATTATTTTCTTTATTTATACCCTGCTTTATCTCCCCAAAGGGATTCAAAGCAACTTGACATAAAGGATTAGCACAGAATCTAAAATATACAAATATGCAAAAAATTAAAACAGAATTAAACACAAACAGCAGTAACAATCCAGTTAACATCGATTAAAACATATTATATGTTAAAAACCGCAGCACCCCTGACTAGATATTAAAACACCTTCATCTTTAAATACGTGTTTGAATAAAAAGGTTTTAGCCTGCTGCTGGAATTGTGACTGGATATTCACACAAGGTAAACATAGCTGTCAGGTTTGTACAAATGGGGCACATGTCAACTATCTATATCAGGCATGGGCAAGCTTGGGCCCTCCAGGTGTTTTGGATTTCAACTCCATGTTGGTTCTCAAACTAAGTACCCCATGCAATTATTATGTATTTCAGAGGAGTTACCAGAACAATTATTATGTTGTGTACTCTATAATTTTTCATGAGATGTTGTGGTTTGATGACTATTTTTATTTTTTATGGTTGTAATGTTTTTGTTTACATGTTGTTCGCCACTTTGAGTCCCAATCTAGGAGAAAAGCAGGATAGAAACTGATCAATAATAATAATAATAATAATAATAATAATAATAATAATCTGAGTCACCACTTCCATTTACGTTATTTATTAACAGAGCTGGTTTCCCAACATTCAAAAACTCAAGAAGTCACTTTTTAAAATGTATTCAAAGTGTGCAGAGGGCATACCTCTTACACTACAAAGTAATGTGGAGTAACAGGTTTATCATGGCATAAACTCTCCTTTACTGGAGAGCTAATCTAATGAGATGCATAATTCAGGATCATCCAGTGCAAACCATTTCATCAAGTAAGATTAACTGAATTTTTCAACCTGGAGACCAACAGTACAGAAACATAGCAAAATTCTGTTGTCAAAAATATAGTGAATTCACTTTCATCACAATAATCCTTCAGCCTATGAGATGGAAGGTGTTCCCGCACCAAATATTATAAACTATGGCACAAAAAATTGTTTTTAATCTAGGAGACGGGGGAGATGGAAGAGAGAAAATGCAGCATGCAGTTTAGTGCTTCAGAAAGCAGTTGAGGAACACCCAAACAGGCCTTTATCGCCCACTTCCTCTGCATGAGCAACTCTGAGTTGAGTCTGCTTAGCTCCATAAAAGGAGAATATAGCATTCACATAATGGTGACATCATCTCTCCAGCCAAGAGGAAGTGGAGCAAAAGAGGCAAAGGTTTCAGTCCCGCTTATAGCTGATTCATCAACACAGACATCTGACTGCAGCTAGATGGGAAAGAGCTGCCTTCTAATCACAGAAAACATAACTCTTCACCTCCTTACTGCACATCACAGGGAGGAAAAACCCTCTACATTTATCCACAAAGATATTTATGCAATAATACCCAGGCACTGGCAAAACAGGATAAAAACAACAAGTGAAACTGAGAAAACACAAATGGCTACGCTCTCTTTAGTTGTCTTTCTCTCCAAATGTTCCAGTGCTCTTTTGATAACCATTTTCCATATCAGCACTATACTGAAAAAAGCCTCAGGAGATATTTAGCCTGCACATACTTTTTGAAAACCTTTGAGGTAGGGGAAAAAATCCGACCAACCTGACATTTTAACCTTGGCATTGTCTCTGCTTGGGTGATGCAAGAGGAATCCAAGGCTATCAAGTTATCATCCTGATCAATACAAACATTCTGAGTACTGCCTTAACTGAAATGTCTAATATATAAAGCACTGTTGAGAGTTAACAAAGAGGTCTATGGCCATTAAACATTAAACAAGGAGAAAGAGGTGCTTAGAGAAGGATGCTCAAATGAGTTGCAAACATTTCCAAGAGAGCTAGGTTTATGAGAGGGGTTGTGGTGGTGCAGTGGGTTAAACTGCTAAGTTGCGGAACTTGGTGATTGAAAGGTTGGCGATTCGAATCCTGTGATGAGCCCCAGATTCTGCCAATCTAGCAGTTCGAAAACATGCACATGTGAGTAGATCAATAGCTACCGCTTCGGCGGGAAGGTAACAGAACTTCATGCAGTCATGACCTAGGAAGCGTCTATGGGCAACACCAGCTCTTCGCCTCAGAAATAAGCACCAACCCCCAGAGTCAGACTCGGCTAGACTTAATGTCAAGGGAAACCGTTATCTTTAGGTTTATGAGTGATACAAAAGTCAGGCATCTATTCTTGCCAGATTAACCTCACCACTAACATATGAGATCTCCTTTGCACATCTCCCACTATGCTAACTAGAGACAGACTATTTAGAATAGGACCAAACCCAAAGAAAATTTAACAGAAGAAATTGTTCCATTTCCCACTAAAACTATTTATACTGAAAAGCAATTCTACTTACAATAAAGTCATTTAAAAACCACCACATCATTCCTTCCTGTGTGCATCATAGCAAAATTACTCTGCTATATTCTGTGGGCTTCATTTAGTCTGAGAACACAGCTGTTGATCATGAGACATGGCAGCTCAGAGCACTAGAGCTCCATTCCTACCAGACGGTTTGGCTGCGCTGCTTCAGCTTGAACCAGCTTCAGGCCACAATTGACTTTATTGTCCACCTTTAAATTTGAACAAATGTAAAATGATCTAATGTGTTATCATACCTTAAAATAACTTTGTGCTTTTTAAAAAAGTAAAGATTTCTTAAAATAACTTCTTGCTTTAAAAAAAAGTACATTGTTACTGGTTACAATCTGAATGCAATCTCCAAACTAAACTACCATGCCAACCGCAAAGTGCTGTCAGGCATCATCTGAGTTGGTTCATTTGGCACCCTCCCTTGCAAGATTTCTGCCAAAACACCACATAACGTAAGTACATCTTGTCACATCGGGGTAACATATAGTATTGGAAGTTCCTTTCATAACAGCCCATGTTCCCCCAACACAAATATTCCTGGTTTTTTGCCATTCGTGTATGGTTAAGGTGGCAATAATTATTTTTGGGTTGTTGTTTCAATCTCTTAAAAGTACCAAAGGTACAAGAAAGACTGAAGCCAAATGCACACACATGCAAACGAGGTAAACATAGCTTTCAGATCTGGAAAAATGGGGCACATGTCGACAATATGAGACAGACAAAAGTTTCCATTATCGATGTCTATAAGTTATGAATGACAATCAAAATCATGCAACAGCTGAGAGCTACCAACTTGTATCATGTAGACAAGCAGCTGAAGTTTAAAATAGAAAATTTGCATGACAAATGTGTTTCTGCAACTCAAATAGTTAGGCAGATTGGTAAAAAGCTAAGACGTTCTGTAGTCAGCCTCTGTGATACTTATGTTTTTACTGATCCATTCTATGCAGATGTACTATAATTCAGATTCCCTGAGGCTCACTATAAAAGATTCACAACAAAACATTTAAAAGTGGGGGGGGGGGGGACACAAAATCTAAGAGCGTTTTCAAGTTTACCAGCAACCTGTTCTGACCCAACAGTAAATCATTTCATTTCTGCACAAACTATGAGGGGAAATGCTGGTGAGCTTACATGGAAGTCATTGGTCCTGGCAGGCCTGTTATAAAACGAAGACCCAGGGAAAAAAACTCCCTTTGTGAGAAAGAGTTCAGAACAAAAGATTAGCATAAACAAGCCTGATTCAACTACACACAGACTGCTGCTCCAACCAGGCCAGGCTAGACTTGACTAACAAATAGTAGATTCCTGGCCACAGCCTCAGAAATATGTAAACACTTCTCTCTTCCCTCCCCCTTCCCTCCTCCCAAACAGATTAATGCTTATTGTTGGACAGAGCAGATCTTCAGTCTTCTTAATCCCAGAGTCATAAGACTTGAAGAACTACCGACAACTCATACGCCGAATCTTACATGCAAAACTGCAACACACCACAGCACTGGGCATTACAAAGAAGTAGCCAATTGTGGCTATATGGTTCAATGAACATCATAACATACATTATGGCTATGCACTATTCAAGGTTATGTATAAGATACAGTAGCTTTACTTTTGTGTATTATGTACACAATGGCACAGGAATGCAGGCTCTTAAACGATTGGCAACCGACTACTTCCTTCTCCTCAGACACGCACAGACAAGCATGTAGATCGGGCCCTGATGCCTATCTTAATATTTGACTCCAAATAACAAGACAATAACTTGTCATGTGTGGTTCAGCAACAACAAAGGTCCTGAAAAAGTCAGAGGTCAGACCCAAATGGGCAAAGTGCCTCACCCACCACTCTCTGGAGTAAATCTGGCTTGCAGCAAGAGAGTTCTTTCATTACCAAAGAATTATACAGGCTTCCAAGAGAGATGCCAGCTCCAGAACAAGGTAGCAACTAATCGGTTGAACTGCGCTGCAAAGAAGTGAAGCAATTTTCATCTGAGTGTACACCATGCAGTCCCTGCCCCTACGGCTGCACCAGCTGCCAATTAGGATGCCCTGTAACTAATGCTGGAATCTAACCAATTAACATGTAAGCCTTTCTGTTTTATCAGTGAAATGTGCACCCTATGCCGAGAATGGGTTCAAGTCAATGGCTAGCCTTGGTGCAGTTGCGTGTTTTGCCAAAGAAACAAAACACACAAAAAAGTGCTCAAAACCATGAAAGATTTCCCGCCTGTTAGGCTCTGAATGGAGTCTGGAGTACAACGGCTAATCCTGAACGCCTCTGGTCCTTGCAGAGCCCGTGGCCTTTCATCTTCTGTGCTCAATACAGATTCCTCCCATACCACTGGCTGCAGAAGCAAGCCTCCCCCACGGATTAAGCAGGACTCAGAGCAAAGAAAGAATGCTGCTTTCCAGAGACCAGAAGGCTGACTGGCATCAAACGTTATATTAGAGCAAAACCCCACCCAATGTAAAGCCCACTTATGCTCTTTCTATGAACCTCTCCTGACCTTTTAAAAGCAGTAGTAACAGCTTTGCGAGATTAATCTACTCAACTGGAGCATAACAATCATCAGGGCCGGAAATGATTTTTTAAAAGCGTACTCACCTTGCATCATACTCCTATAGGCTGTGTCTGTAATGGCATAGATGTGAGGGGGCATCTCGTGTCTTTTTTTGCCCTTATACATTTCCACAATCTCTTCTGAGTAGATGGGCAAGTTCTTGTAGGGATTTATGACCACACAGAATAGGCCTGAGTAGGTCTGCAAAATGGATTTCATGAAGAATTCATAAGCATGCATTTTCTTTGTTGTTTGACATGAAGTTATTCATTCAAGGATTTATATCCTGAAAGATGCAGAGAAAGCTAACAGATCAATAAAAACTAGACAGTTCCTACCCCCAGGCTAACATGTAAAAATGGATGACCCAAGACAGAAAGGGATGGAGAGGGAAAGAAATTGCTTCCTAATTTTTCCTTCACTTTGGCAACATACAAAGTGGTAACCATTGGAAACCTCGGAATATTTATCTTAGAAAACATTCACCTGGGCTACTATAATTGCCATTCATTACCAGATATTTAAGCTGGTAATCAAATCTGCCATTTGCTGTATGAATACAACTATTCATCGTTGACCACTGAATCACGCATTTGATTTTCCATATATCTTTGATGTTAATTGCAGAGAGTCTGCATTTTTCAGCTGTACTCATATAAGCAATTACCATTTGGCACTTCAGAAATCATTGGATGTTTAGACAATAAGGGAAGCTTAATATTCCCTATGCTACCATGGATTCATAAAGAAGAAAACCACGGATATTGATAAAATAGTACAATCCAAGGGTTACTTCTGACATATGAAAAATGTGGCAGTCTTGTGGCATATAAGTTAGCACACAAGTTTACCTAAGTTTATTTTGCAAAATTGATTTACTAGCCAGAAGTTATTTGAGATGAACCCTTGCTTGAATCCAGCAAGTTAAGATACGTAGCTGGTCAACAGAAATCTGGAGGTAGCAATCCACCATATGCCCTTTGGTGCCCTGGCAAGGTGTTTTAATAGTTCATGAGGCAGAACAATCAGAGAGTCACAATAGGACAAAACCCAACAAAATTGTTCAAATAGTAAGCAAGCTCTCGAGGTTCTTTAAGATACTTTCAACAGACTTTGTGTAATCAAAAACACAAATGGGGAGGAAAAGTGGCATGACGTTAAGGCCACACAGTCTACAGTTTAAGTATCTCAAGATGGAATCCTGGAGGAGGCTGGTAGACACATAATGGGATTAGCCTTTGTTAAATGCTAGCACGTTTCAGGTTGGACTAGGGCTGCTGAGAGAAAGTTACAACCACTGCAAATCCTCTCATTTCTTTATATTAAAAAACATTATCTGTAACAGACTAGAAACACTAGCAGAAAGTACTCAAGGACAGGAACCTGAACACTCCACATACACCTCTTTCCATCAGAGAGAAACTCAGTATCATTGTACTAAATCATCATACTGAGTGGAGGAGGAGAGAGTGAGTCAAGGTTTGAATGTGTAAGAAAAACCTGTACTAGAATATTTATATTAGATGCCGTACAGCAGGAAAATATTTAACATGTAATATGATGAGATATAACCGGGAAGGGGGGGGGGGGGAGCCAATTTGAACGCAGTGTAAACTTGAGAAGATGTAGTAGCTGGATTAGTAAGGAACAAGTTCATTAAAATTCCTGTTTAAATAAATATCAGGAGATCCAGAGGAAGTGATGGGTTTTGAGAAGTTGCACTGAAGTTGGGTTCAGGGGTCATGTTGTGTCTTGAGCAACATGCATGCCCATTTTAACATTTTTTCCTCACATATGAGACATCCAGAACATAGTTACACAAGCAAAATTTACAATGTGAATGCAAGGAAAAAAACAAAACAAAAACCCTATGTTGCTACTCTAGCAGAGTTTTTATTCTCAATAGGATGTCAGTTAGTGTGTGTGTTCAGGAAAGGGAGGGAAAAGAAGAAATAAAAATGACATGGCACCTTATAGTTAAAAAAAAACGCAAAAACTCCAAAATCCCACCACAACATCTTTAAACTTACTCGCCCAACGTGTTGAGACTCAGCGTCTGCCTGATGCACCTACTACCAGTAGTAGGAGAAAACGTGGCTTAGAGAATGATGAGGATCAGCAACAGCTGAAAAGGATCAGGGATTTGTTTTTGGAGACTACTGATGAAGAGGATTTTATGGGCTTTACTCAAGAGGAGATGGAGCTAGAGAGTTACAGGGGTGTAAAAAGAGTAGCCAGCAGCTCTAATAGCGATGTGGGGTCTGTTGCCAAACGTCCGAAAGACATAGCTGATTGTACAGACTTTGACAGCGAAGACGAAGAGCTAGACTGGGCTAAAGTTCAAGAAGTGATGGATGTTTTTAACGCCCCTACATCTAGCGATGAATTCCAGGGTTTTAATGATGTTA